AATGTATGCACTACGTACTTCCTGTATGCCTGTTGCTTTGCACAATTTTTTTTTTTTTTTTGGTCTTTTTCCTTTTTTATCGGTACCAGGAATCGAACCCATGACTGCCTGCTTGCAAGGCAGGCGCTTATGCTGCTGAGCTAAATCCCCAGCCCCACTTTGCACAATTTTTGAAAAGTTAATAGGAAAGCTGTCCACAAGCTAACCATCAAAGCGCAGCAAAGTTGGCATCTAAAGTTATCCTAGAGAAATGACGGGCCAGCAGAGGGTAAGAATCCAGAAATCAGTCACAGGACCAGAGACTGAGCAAGGCTTTGATTCACCACGAACCTTTTCCCTCTACTAAACCTGAGCTGTCGCCACCCACTGGCCCACTTCAGGGCATCGTCACAAGGACAGGACATGCCTGGTGCCTTAGCCTGCAGGAACACACACAGATGCATTTATCCACAGGCCAAGCAGTTGGGCAAGTGAAGTATATGTGGATCCCCAAACTGTGGGAGGACACCCCTTGAAGCCTCAGCGCCCTTAACTATGAGCCCTTGCAGCAAAGCCTTCCTTGGAGGGCTGGGGACTGGACTAAATGCTATGCCTCTCATAAGTACCCTCAAATGGTAGTTTTTTAACAAATGTGTAACTGGTCTTAAGTGTTACTTGGATATGGGTTCAAAACTAAACTTTGTTTTTGTCTTTCCATGTCCCTGTAACCTTTCTGCAGTGAGAATTGCTTCCTGACACTTATTTTCTGGTAATTATGGCCCTGATACTGGATAAAGACTGAGGCAGGCTGGATGTTTCCTACTCATTCACATTAAGTGTCCCATGGCTTTTGCAATACTTAATTTCAATTACAGAAGTCAAAACGCCTGGTCCCACGCAATCATCAAGTTCGTCCTTGGCAGGGAGTTGACGTTGCATAAACTCCCCTTCCTTGGCTCTTTCCTACTTCCAGAGCCACCCTTGTCCATCTTCCCCCGCTCGCAGTTTCCTCTGTCTCCCTTTGGTCTTCCTCCATCATTAGCAGCCTCAGAGAGAAGGTGAGTCCTGGAGTAGGCCTGGTGATAGCCAAAGCCATCTCCCTGGGCTCTGCAAACACCAGTCACAAAAGGCAGGAGAATGGAATCTACCTGAACTTTTGTTATGCAGATGCTCCTCAAAAATATTGCCACCATACATTCCTTCTTTGGGAGGTTTATAGTCAAAAAAAAAGCTACTCCTTTCCAAAATGAGTAGTCACTGAAACCAGCTTTTCCTAGAAGTGCTCCCCTTCCCATGTGTTCTCTGAAAGAAGCCCTCCTTCCTCTCTCTCTTCTAGCATGGACATAAAATTCCTCCTGTCTTTGCCTGTTCAGGGAGCCATTTCATCAAAAGGATTCTGAGCATATAAATTTTATCTTTTCCTAATATGGTAATAGTTTATTTTTATTTATTATCTTTTTGGTACTGGGGATCAAACTCAAGACCTCACCCTCATCAGGCCCCATGCTAAATCCCCAAGCACTGGCCTAAATTGAAAGAGGAAAATGGTTTCCCTCCCATGGGGAAAAGAAGCTTACTTTCTTACCCATCACTAGGATCACAGCCGAAGCACCTATAACAAGAAACAGATTAATGAGTAGAAAGCCTTATATTTATGTAATGTAAATTGCACATGACACAGGGACCTTAAGAAATAAAGCCCCAAAGTAATGGGAACTTGTGTACTTTTTTGACTACGATGAGGACTAGATGTTCATTCTGAAGTGTGATTGGACAAAGGGAAAAGGATCTCATGGGAATAAACTGGAGGAAACCTGGCAAGTTCTGTTCAGATTCTTTGTGCCCCTGCAGCGGCAGAGTTAAGGACATTGCTTTGTCCAAGTACAGGGAAGGCCATTCTGTAGCGAGGATTTTTGACCTACTTTAGGGGAAGGCCAACCACATTTTGTGACCTGCATCTGAGACAAAGGGACTGACATGTGCCACCACACCCAGCAAGCAAAGGGTCAGAGTAAACTTCTTCCTGTGGTTTTCTCAATTGCCACAGTGTCATATTTTGGGGTAATATGTCCTGAGCCCCATTACCTCCAAAATACAAGAGTGCGATGAGTAGACTGGAGGAAGTGGAAACCAACCCCAATGAGGTTTGTGAGATGCCCAGATACTTCCCATAATGGATGGTTCTTGTGGCCGCTAGGCTGGAGGGGTCAGGTCCTGGAGACCCAGAGCTGCAGCTGCACCACAGTGAAGGGTGGTCCTGGAGCTGATCAGCCACTGTCAGATAGGCAGCCATGGGCATAAGAGCCCCTGAGGGAAGCGTCCCTCCATTCTTCTACCAAGGCCCTTCACTGGCCAAGTCTTACCCAGAGCCAGCTGATCCAGAAGCTTGGAAACCTTGGACTATGAGGAAAGTTGGGGGACCGTCTGCTCAGACTGCAAACTGGCCAACGTCTAATGCAGTGAAGAGGTTATAATATTACAGCTGATGATAAATAGCAGCAGCAAAGAAGTTTTGCCCTTGCAAATGTTTGTAGAAGTAGAACATAACCCTACGGGCCAGCCCCCTGAGCAGGTGGGATGCCTGACTGCACAGGGCTCTGTATCTTGAAATTCCTAACTTTGGAACAAAAGACTCTAAATTTTCATTGCACAATCAACCCCATATGCAGCCATTCCCCTGGATTAGTAATAGACAACTTGGGTTTGTAGAATGCAAATACAGTTTTTCTGTCTCCTTCCCAGAGGGCAGCAAGGGCATGCTATGCACAGGGACACTGTAGAAAGGACGAGCCTGGAGTTTACTTCTAGGGCAGGATAATAAGAGCCCAGGGGTAAAAAAGAAAGAGGAAGAAGATTAGAAGAGAAGGGACCCTAAGGCCAGTGACCTTACAGGCATTGATAAACATGTGCTCCATCTTCCAAATTCTCAAGTGTGTGAGATCTGCCAGTAGGGAGCCAACACTTACTGGTAAATGACAATGTCAGTCTTTTTCTGGGCATTGCCACGCAGAACAGTAGGATTATGATAATTATTTCACAGAAGAGAACAGAACAGTCATGAAAATCTTTATCAACACACCTGATACAAGTTTTCTGTGAAAGTAATTTGGTATAAGAATTTTAGAAGCAGTAATAAAGATTACAATTTTCACCAGGCGTGGTGGTGCACCCATGTAATTCCAGCATGGGGGAGGCTGAGGCAGGAGGATTGTGTCAAAAAGGCCAAAAAAATTTATAGTTTTCTTAATCAGAACACTCCATGTACTTGATTTTGCAGTTTTCTGTGCTAAGTTTTGATTCTTGCTTTATGTATTGCTTGACTGTTATTGCTCATAAAAACTTCTAAATTCTTGGGCCTGTAGTTGACTTTAAGACCTTCTGTTTTTATTAGACCAAAAAAGATGGACTCTTGAATTTTAAACTTCACTTTACTAAGATTTTACAGTGTTTTATTTTGGTTTTTTTAAAATTTTATTTTAAGAGAAAAAGAAAAAAAACAGAAAAAGAGTACAAGTAATACAGAATTTCAAAAAATAAACAGTAAGAAATCACTAGTTAATAGATTATATATTGTCATCTTAGAAATAGTTGTTCAAGTTAAAAAATTAAAGCATACAAAGTGGACATTCAAACAGTGAGACTGCAAACAGTTCTGTTCAATGATCCAACAAAAACTCAGTAATATGGTTATCTATCTTATACACTTAAATATACATGCAGTTATATCCTTTAGAGCACTTTCTTTTCCTCTCTTTTTTACAATAACAATTAACACATTTTGGGTTTTATTACTCCCACAGTTCTTTTTTTTTTTTTTAAGAGACTAAAACCAAATGTGACAAAACAAAACAGAGTCGGTCAAATCAAAAGGATGGACATAGTACATGATGTAAAAACAGAATACAAGGCAGAATACAAGGTGATCAACAGTGGTTACCATAATGCCTCTTGCTATCTTAAAAAGAATTGCCTATATCATCAGTTATAATAAAATTGAACAAAACAGTATAGAACAAAACCACAACATTGGAGACATTACAGGACTTCAAAAGAAGATAATAGTTAAACCAGAATGGGCATCATAGTGAATCTTATTGTCTTCAAAGTAGTTGCCTATATCCTCAAACTTGATACTATCAAGCAAAACAGAACAGAGTAAAAATCAGTCAAAACAAGATGGTGAGAGCAATACAGGGCTTTAAATCAAGTTAATAAGAAATCAAAATGGTTACTATAATATATCCTGCTTTTTAAATTTATTTTTCCCTTAATTAAAAAATAAATTTTAAAAAAGGAGATTAAGATAAAAGAAGACATAACACAACAGCACAGGTCAGAACAGAACAATTTAAGCAACATAAGTGTTTCACCACAAGATAACCCGACATAACAGTAGTTACCATAGTGTCTCTTTCCTGAAATATTTGGGTATAATTTCATATACTATAGCATCAAAAATAATAAGACAGAGAATGAAAGTATTACAGGGTATTTAGAACCAACTAACAGAAAATGAACAATGGTTTCTATATTATCTCCTTGTCTATAAAGTTTTTGTTTGTATGATTACAAATAATAAAATCCAGTAAGATACAACATGATAAGACTGATGGAGACAGAAGAACAAAAGCTTGATGGGACTTCAAAACAAGATGATATTAAATCAGAACTAGCTATTATGATGTCTTGTTTTCTTCAAAATAGCTGTTCATACCATCACAGACAAAATCAAACAACCCAGAATAAAACCATTCCAATTAATGAATGAAAACATTATAAGGCTTCAAAGCAATATAATAAGGAGTCATGATTACCACATACTACAGTGTTTATTTTGAAGGGAACAAATATCAGAATCCTGTAGTCTGTCTTTATTGACATATGTTAGTATTTTCATTTAATAAGCTTAGTGTTTGATGTTGCTAGGCATTGTTCTAATTATTGATAAAAAGCAAAGTTCTGCGATGCCCTAAACCTAAAAACAAGGGGGCATATAAACAAGGGCTGGGGGGCCGGGGGGAAGAGAAAGACTAACAAACTGACAGGCTATGGGGCTGAGGACAGCAGACTGTGTCACATCCTGAATGTATGTTGAAACCTTAGTGTCAATCCCATAACGCTGACTGTTAGCATAGGTCCATTTTGCCCCTTGTCCATGCAAACGTTCCAGACTGTTAAGCCCAGCTGATCCAGAACAACAAGTGTCTCTCCTTACGTCTTGTCCTGCTATTCCGCAGCTTCTACCACCTCTCCTAACCCCACTCCTCTTCTATCTACAAGCCAATGTTGGTTCAGTGTGGGCAATTTATACCTCCTGTCTGCCCACCCAGGGGGCCCAAGGCTAAAGAATGCAGCTGTGCAAGACATTAGCAACAACAGGCAGCAACAACAGGCAGCATGGAACAGAGCAGAGCAGAACAAGAGAGCCACCTGCATCTTTATTGTATAATTCCTATATGGGTTGTTGTCTCATGTTTACATTCTTACACAACACTGTAACTAGCACATGTGTGTTTACCTGTGCTAAGTCACAGTTACATAACTATGCCTCTGTGCTTAAACAAGCAGGGTCACGTCCTCAAAGTGTCCTTAGACCCCCTTGAACTTTGAAGTAGTCTATGATTCCCCACACCTTCCTTTCCCAATGATTTGTTATTTTAAAATGTCCTGAGTTCTAGTCCTGCTTTTCCCAGCTTCTACACTACTTGGTCCAGCTCCCAGTAGTTTCCAGAAACTTGCCCAAGGAAGCTGGTCCTGTTTGTCTCTGGTGTCTGTAATAGATGAGTAAATCCTGCCACTTTAGAGACTCCTCCATCTCAAGAGCTCTGGTTTAACACGAGGAGCATTAGCAGATTTAATTCCAATGAGAACTCTACCAGGAGGGACTATTTGTATAGATGAGGAAACTGAGACATAAACATGAGATGCCAAACAAACATTGACTGAACCTGTGTAATCAAGGGGAAACCTAAATAATCCTAGTTTCATTTACTTTTAGTTGATTTTTAAAATTCCTAACTTTGAAGTTGACACAGCTGAGTAATATATTATTGTCTCCCATTAACTTGCTGTAGATAACACCTCTCATATGGGGGTTATGACAATAAATTACCTGGATTATTTGTCAGGGATGTAAAGGCTGTTTTGGCAACAATATAGCCAAAAATAGCTAATTTTAAAATCAATTTTGATATGCTTAAATTTTCCTCTTTTGAAATATTGATAAGGAGAAATAAAGTTTCTGAATCTTTTACACGTTGTTTACCTAAACTCCATTTCAGAAAAGCTCCTAAACTGCTCATCTAACCTCCCTGTTACTCATCTGTGTACACCATACCTCCCATTCTGAAGCATATCGCACATTGCTTTCTGGGTGATTAAAGAAGGAGCTCATGGGTTTGAATATGAAGATTAAGTGAAGGTATCCACCCTGATGAAGACATAGAAGTAAACAATTCAAATTACAAGTAGACAACTAAAAATATTGTGTTAAACTGAGCGTGGTGGGCACATCTGTAATCCCAGCAACTTGGCAGAAGGATTGAAAGCTCAAAGCTGACCTGGGTAACTTCCTGAAAATAAATAAAAGGGCTGAGTGAGAAAAGGAAAGGCAGAGAAGAGGCTGTGTACTAGCAAGCAGAAAGGAATGTCTGACTCCTCTAAAACTTAAGAAGGTATCACTGGCCAGTGTGGATTCTCAGTCACATTTAAAATGAAAATCAGACATGGTCTGATTCTTGAGCCTGCCGATGCTGTCAGTCATCTGTCCTCTTCAGGGTCCTCCAAAGGGCACACCTTCCAAGGTGTTACTAATCAGCTGAGGGTTCTTGCTCAATTTGGAGAGAAATCAAAAATTTACAGGATGCTCCCTTGGTGTGTTTTGCACATTGCTAGGCTTTGAATGCCAGTGGTCAGTGGGTCTTCTATTAGTATTAATAGCCCTCCTTGATGCTTGGAGCAAGTAGCCACCACGATGTCTCAGGAATTCATGGCCACTGAAGATGGCATCTCCTGGCAGTTCACTGCTCTGTCATTCTCTGGATGATGATTGTCTTTTGTGCCACCAGCTCCACCTGCTGGCTGTTTTTTGGCACCAGTGCCTTTAGTGTTGCCACCTCCTGGCATATCAGTTCAGCAGGCTCAACCCAAGATAAAAGCCATAAAGGGGCAAAATATGCCATCTAGAATGGGATTTGCTAATACTTATGCTGTAACATAAAAAGAAGCAATGCATGGACTGAAACCACTAAGGTTATGAGGAGGTTGCTTATAAAGAAAAAGGCAGGCTCTTGCATCACATTATCAAAGAGGCCACGGTTAAGTACAAGGCCACAGAAGAGTGAAATCATTCAGACTTTAGAGTACAGACACCTGGGGTAAGACTGCCTCAGAAGCCTGACACAGCCAAAGCAAATATCTACTGGAGCAGCTGTAGGCTGGTTGCAAAATGTTTGGAGCAGCTGAGGAAAAATAAAAACTACCTCTTGAGGATCATTAAACCCTTCTCTTTTGTCTCAAGGGTTAACAGAGAAGCTTTGAAAGGTGACCTTTGCACTCTGTCAAAGAGGGGAATATGCAGTTCACCAGGCACACAAGCAAAGGACAGTTTTTGAAGACTACTATGTAGAAAAGCATAAAAACATATAAAATCTGGGCAACTCCAGCACTACTTTAATGTAGCCCATGTCTAGGCTTTGTACAATGTTAATTAAAAGATAGTTTCAAAAAAAATGGCTCTCACACAAATGTAAAAACAAAATATGTTAAAGCTTCTATTTCTCTCATCGGGCAGATTTCGTAAGTACTGGTTCAAAGGATAAATCCAAAGAACAAACAAATTGGGAACATTGAAATGAAGGCCAAAGTGTGGAATGCATGTGGAACTTTACGTAAATGTGGGATGGAATCTTCTTCCACACAGTGGGAAAGTGAAGTCAGTTAAATGTCTACTGAATAAACTATGCATGTCTATAGACCCTTACTTTGAATTGCTATCACCCACTACCTCCAGAGATGTTCAAACAGCTTCCCTAAATTGGGAAGATAACCGGATAATTTCAGCACTTACTTTTCCACTGAAACACAAACTTTCCCCTACAATAGCCGTAAGACTAGTTAAACATCCTCCAAGGGCTGCAAACACAGCATCTCAACACCCTGAGTTTGAACTGTTAGTTCTAGACTTTGAGTACAGGAGGTTCCTCAAGCTGGGGAGTGCCAGAAACTCTGCATTGCAGAGGTAGGGCCCAGCAGCAGGTGAAAGTGCACTATGGCACAAAGATGGAGTCTTAACTACAAGTGTATGAAGCTGACTCAATACATCAAAGTCCAAAGGTGAAAGCCATAGTGGTGACAAAGAGGAGGGAAAGTGGCTGGCAAAACAGAATCCAGCTAATCTTGTGAAGGTGCATGAGAGATATGAAGTGGACACTATAGCATCTGACAACATCTAGATTCTGGCTCAACCCACCAACATCAGAGGAGCCATCTTGGGCAAAGTCCGGCTTAGTGGCACCTTTTGGATAACTGTGAAACTTTGGGGAAGAAAGCTGGGAAAGGGAGTACAAGGAACCTAGGGGTGCAGTCACAAGCTACTCCTCATGCCTTGGCTGCTCATGAAGCCAGTGGCATGAGGAGACCCGGAAGGGGAAGCCGTACCAGTGCCTTCAGTGTTACGAGCTCTCAAGCTCTATCAAGATAGAAATCACGGTGGGGCATAGGGTAAATTGCGGGTGGGCTCTCGCAGCTCTACGTCGGCCCCACTTCCGCTTCCGGCCCGCGGGTCTCTGTTTCATTTTTTCTCTTCCCTCTGCCCCACTTCCGCTTCCGGAGGCGTCAGGCGTGGGCTGTCTGTGGGCGCGAGTGTCCTTCGTGGATCGGCGGCTACAGGTTCCTGTGGACTGACATGCGGCGGCCGCGGCCTCCAGCGGACTCCGGGACAGCCCCAGGGCGGGAAGGCGATGCGCGAGGCCTGAGGAAGCGTGGCCGGAGGCCCACGTCCAGACCCGGAGGCGAGGAGGGAGGCCGTGGCCCGGAGGCCAAGGGGCGCGAGGAGGGCGGGCGGAAGAGGAAAGTGGCGGCGCGGGCGTCTACCGGGCCTGAGGCGAAAGGTGACGAGGCTGGGCAGCGGCGGTGGTGTCGGGACCTGGGAGCAGGAGGACCCGACCGCCAGGCTTTGGGACGCGGGGCGGCGAGGGAGGCGCGGCCCGAGAGCTCTCCTGTGGCCCTCGGCGGCCAGGACTGAGTTGCATGTGTGAGGCATGGGCCCTGCATGAGGTTCGTCCTGAGATGGGGAGGCGGGAAGGATTTGTTTGCAGGTGTGCGATGGCTGTCGAGGAAATTCTCGCTAAGTGTAAAAAGATGGTGCTGAGGATTTTTCACCAGTCTTAGCGTTTTATTCAGATCTGTGTGTAATGCGTTAGTGGACATTAGGTCTCATTTAAAAGCAAATGTGCACACAGTTTGATGAAAAATATATTCTTGATCTACTGCAATAGGGGACATATTGCAATCAGACCCCCCTCAGATTACCCCCTCCAAACGCGCTGAGGTTGGCACGCTTGCCACTGTCTGAAGCAGTTCTGGAAAGTCCTTTTTTCATAAGTGTGTTTAGTTCTGCAGTCAGCTGCTTCAATGTCCTACCTGGATGGATTGAGAACATCAGCCTTTCAAGATCATTTCACGTTAGAGAAAGTGTAGTAAGTGGCAAAGTGTAAGATCTAGCAAATAAATACAGTTTTTACGAATCATCCTTTCCATTGGATGGTAATTAGCTGCAGCATTCGCTGTATTTTTATCATGCCTGATAAAGACACTCATGAAAGGACTTCCAAAACTACTTTAGAAAGTGGCCAGAACATCGGAATGTGTTCGAAGGGAAATTATTTTGAAAGGAATTAATGACAGTGTCTTACTGTATGTAATAATTCTTTAAAAATTTAAACACATCAAAGTTTTTGATCAACATTTGTATTTCTATATAGCAATTAGGAAAATAAAAATGGATGACTTCACAATTTTTTATATAAACTGGTATATTGCTTTTTCCTCCTCAATATAAGATGTTTTCTTGTTTTTATCAGCCAAAGATGAAAGAAAAATTACTGAAGCTTCAAGTGATGATCAACAGCCAGGGATTGACCTGGTAAGAAAGGAATCAGTAACTACTTTGGAATCTTTCTACACAGTGGAATGTGGTATGAGTATGGCTTTCTTGAAATCTTTGGCTAAGAAAGTTTTGGTAGGTATTAAAAGAAGAATTCAAATTTAAAAAGTTAAAAGTTTAGAAAGCTCACCTAGAATAACTGAAAATGAATACTACACAAAATACTAAAGTTGAATTCTTGTATCAGCTTAACACCTGATTTAAAAATAATTCCATTTTAAAGTTATTTGATTGCAATTGTTTCCCCCATTCCAAGGTTTATGATAATAGCTTTGTGCAGAAAACTGACAGTGGATATATACATGTAGCAGAAAATTCCTTGAAGGAAAAGAAAGAAAACCTTAGGAGACCTGCAGAGAAGAGTGACGCAAACAGTGTTCCTAAGCTCCAAGAAACTGAAGGAAGTTTAATGGAAATAAATAAATTACTGCTCGAAAAAAATGACTTATACCAGAGTAAAAGGAATGGCTTACTTTCCTGTCTTCTAAGTGAAAAAAATAAACATTCGGTAGAACAGAGCAATATCAGAAAACCCAGAAAAAAGATGAAGTCTGAAAAAAAAACAGTTGAGACGCGTTTCTGTAACATGTGGAATGAGTCTGAATTGGTATTGAAAAAAGCTCAAATAGGTATGGAGGGGAAAAAAGCAGAGATTTCAGAGGTTAAAAGTCCTTTAAAAGTCTTGGGAAATGGAAACTATAATACATCCTCTCAATTGGATCATTTATCAGATCTCCTAGAAACAGAAGGGAAAAAAAGTACTGGACATCATATAAATGCTGTGTTTCCAAAAACCCTTGAGCCACTTTTGAAAGAAGAAACAAAGAATGTTTCAGAGTCCTTAGAATGTAAAAGCTTGGATCCAGAGGAGTATTTTAAAACAGTGACAAACTCTATTACAGAGGAATCACCTAGTGAAAAGAGATCATCACACGAAGATTTGAGAAAAGAATCTGAATTACGGCTAAACTGTCGCAGAACAATACCAATGACTGGTAAAAGAATTTGGCCTTTATATTCATGTGCTAGAATATCTCCCTATTATTGGAAAAAGGCTACTTTGCCAAACTCAAATTACTTACTACCTGAATCTCCGAGAACTCTTGGGCAAGATAATTTTCTTAAACATCAGACAAACCAGACTCACTTTTCTGACTCCAAATTGTTCCAAAGTTCCTTAACAGAAAAAAACATTGAACACTCAAAGAAAGAAAAATTGGATTCTAATTTAGATCAGTTATCTTCAGTTTCTGCAGTAGAGCCTACTTTGGTGGCTACAAAGGAACCTAAAATCGATGATAAAAGGATAAAATCAGAGGAACTTAGCAGAAGTGGGTCAGAGGTAGTTTCTAATAGTATTGAAGATACCCAAGTAACTAATGTGACGCAGAGTTTACCAGGAAGTAAAAGAAAAGAGAGAGGGAATTTAACAAAACTTAATTTGACAGTAGCTCCCAAGGATGGCCAAGAAACAAATAGCTTTACAAGCAGAACTATTCATCAAAAAGCCTGCGTTGCTAAGCAGACACTTGTAGTTCCAGGCTTGGTTAAAATATTGAACACAGGACGGCTGACTAATTTTAAAATTCCTTTACTTAAAAATAAGACAGAAAAAAACCTAAGTGCTAAGTCATCAGGCAGAGAAGCTTATAGTCCTCTAGAACTCCTTGACAGTGTATCTGGAGCAGAGGTAAGGCAGACTAGGATCAAAGAATATGCTTCCACAGCAAATTCAAGATCTCAATCTTTTAACATACAAAATAGTGTAACTGCAGGGCAAGCTCGTTCTAACTCACTCTATAGTAAAAATCCCTGTAGTATTTCTCCAAGCTTTGTAAAGAAAGGTGATGACAATAAAGCATTTAATCACATCTCTGAACCAAGCAGTGTTGTTTGTAATAAAGAACCTGTTTCTCTCAGAATTGAAAATAATGCTTTGTCTTATAATCCTGGCTGTATTGAGGAAAGACCTTTTTGTGCTAAAGAACAAACATTTGAGCCAATTTTCTCTGAAGGAAATGGTACAAAAGTGACTAAGAGCATTTCAGACATCAAAGTGGAGTTTCCAGATATTCTTAAAGCATATGAAGATGATGTCCTTTTAATTGATGTAATTCAAGATGACCCTGACCTCTTTGGAGTCTCCAGTGAAGGGGAGATCACATTTGTTTCAGAGGTCCCCAAAAGAAGTCATGAGCCCCATGTCACTGCAGAGCATCAGTCAGCTGACACCAAGCACATGGAACTTCCAGAAAAAGAACCAAGTGATTTAAGGTATGCATATTCAAGTATGCCTTTGGGATGCAATTGTTGGGAGTTTCAAAAGCATTGTCACTAATTTATTCAATTATCATTAAATCTCCTTTATTTTTAACAATAAATGAAATACAGCATATCACTAATACTGACTGCAAGGTCATGATGTTAAAATTTAACAAAGGAATATGTATATATCTTGGAAGATACAATAGAGCAGATTGACTGTCAAGGTCTAAAATGCTTTATAAAATGGCTTTTTAAAAGAGAGGTTGCTTCTTTCAAACACCAGCTTATTTTTATATCTTCTTATAACTATACAGGTAACCTTTGTTATAGTCAGATTACTTATTTTATACCCATGCCATATAATTAATCCATTTTGGTGGCTTCCTTATTAGATAAAATTTTGTGTGTGTATAATATGGGAGTTGAGCCCAGAGCCTTAGTAGTAGAATTCATTCACTAAAACCTGAACTGATGAGCTTGCACTGTGCAGTGGTAAAACTTTTGAATTAACCTGTATCATTGGAAATGTCTGAGAATGTTTGTAGAAGCTGATGTGGGACAAAACAAGGGTGTACTGAAACATGTATGCTAAAATGCCAATTGAATGATACTGTAAATCATTAACATTTTAAGAATTTGCCAAAAATTCTGGAAATTATTGAGGAAGTACTGTTTAAAATATTATATATTTATACTGTGTGTTTACACACACACACACACACACACACACAGACTGTGGGTTGGAAAAGACAGTCAGAAAAGCAAAAGTTTGTGTTGATCCTTAAAGTTTGGATTAGTTTTTCTTTTTCCTGGTACCGGGAATCAAACTTGGGGCCTTGTGCTTGCCAGGCAGTCACTTATGCCACTGAGCTAAATCCCCAGCCCTGGATTAGTTTAGATTCATACAGGAAAAGAAAGAAGTTTGGTGGGGAGGAGAAATAATGAAGAATTTGTGGGCAAAAGGTGAAGGTTTTTGGGGTATATGTGTGTGCAGGGAAATTTTTGAAGGTTCCTGACTCCTTCATGCAGAGATAGGAGCCCTTCCATATTCTCGCCACATCTTATGTCACCCCAGTTATGACACTGATTTCATAATAGTATAGTTTACATCTTGCTTATTTGCTTAACTGTTTGACTTCATCTGTCTCCCTCACATCTCCCGCCTGTACTAGGATTTGCACCCAGGATGATTTACCATTGAGCTGTATCCTAAACCATTTTTGAGACAGATCTTGAAGTTGCCCAGGCCAGCCTCAAACTTGGGATCCTCTCCCTCAGCTCCCCAAAACAGCTGAAATTCCAGGTGTATGCCACCGCTCCCAGCATGATTTACAGTTTAGTTTAGTTTTGGGTTAGGTTAGGTGGGGGTGGGGGGGGTGTAATTTAGTGACAGGGTCTCACTGTGTAGTTGCCTCAAACTCACAATAATCCTCCTGTCAGCCTCCGAGTGCTGGGATGATAGGCATGTGCAACCACACCCAGTTTAGATTTATGTTTTAAAAATCATCATAGCTCTGATATGGAGAATGACAGGGAACTATTGTAATAATTAGATGAAAAAGACATGATGACTTCAATCTGAATGAAAATGGATTTGAGACAGATTTAACAAGTGGAGACTGAGTAATCAGATGAAAGTGAGCATAGAGAGGAATTAAGAATGATACCTGGTTTCTCGGTTTTCTCAGAACATAATCTTTTTCTTCTGCAGAGGGGTAGGACTGGGGAAGTCAGATTGAGATATTTTAAGTTGGAGAGGCCTTTGGGATACTGAAATAGTCTGAAGTCTAGAGAGTTCTATTAGGAGGAGGAGGTGTGCATATGTGTCTGTTTTCTGTTTGTATTATTTCTAGTCCTTTAAACAGTACCCTTTTGATTCTAGGGTTTATGTTTCAGACAATGTACTTGTTTTTCCAAAGACTTCAAAGAATAGTAACTACAAAATGTTTAGATTTTCGTTCTTTCTTTACTAGGAAGTAATTGTAAACTAGTGAGTAGTTGTACAGTTACAGGATATACTCATTAAAATCCATTTATTAATCTGTGTAATTTAAGTTTTTGCCTACATTTTTAGAATGAAAGACTTTGGCCATTTGTGTTTGAGTGGTTCTTATGTATTTGCTTTTCACTTGCTGACTACTGATTTAAGATTCGTCAAGCTTTTCTGACTAAGTGTTGGAGTGGTGACCCTCCCAACAGTTAAGGCATACATGACTATCTGCAGATGTGCTGGTTCAGGGTCCTGGTCATTACTCTGTAAAAGCTGGTGAGAAGTATTGCTTAGAAAAGCGGGTAGTTCTCTTTAGAACCTGTTACCATCTTTAAACTCTGCTTGCTTTATAACAGAGCATGTCCTCCTGTATTGGACACTGGATTGATGAAGTCAGAAATCTACACTTCCTTGCCAGCAGGTAAAATCTGATGTTTTGAAAATAAGCAATATTGAAGAATCTTTTTATGTCTCCATTAGTTCAAAATGAATTTATTGGCTGAGGCTGCTAACCATGCCTTACAGTATGTCAGTTTTTTTCAGATCAGATGTTGAGATATTTTGCAGTTGATTATTTAACTATAACTTTGTTGTGCTTTATCTACAAAAGAAATACTGACCTCAGCAATTTTGTAGGCTTTATTTTAAACTCAAAATATATCTATTTCAGCTTTATCACATTTTAAATCTGTCATTAAGAATTTTTATTAAACAATCAGAAGTTTACATTTCTGAGTCCTTAGAGTTGCAACGTGAAAGTTAGTTTTACTTTGGCTTTCAAGTTTTAAAAAAAATATTAAGTAGCTGGACATCAAGAAATATTCTTAAAAGATTCTTAAGTATCTCATTGTCTGTTATTTTTATACAGTGTGGTGAAGTTATTGAGTAGCAAGTAGGGAGTGCCATACTTTACTGAAAACTCTGCTTAACATTTGTCACTTAGACCTGAAGAGCCTCTGTACTCTTAGGTTGTTTTTTAGAAGTTTTGAATGATTTGGTTATTGCATTTAAAGTTTCTATAGTTGAATATTATTTCTTTTCAGCAAGTGAGATAAAACATGATTCCAAAGGTACAAACATTTCTTTAGAAGTTACTAATGAGACCTCTGAAAATGAAAAACTTGGAAACCCCAGTGAACAAGTGACAGGTTTGGACTCAAATGAAAAGGTACTATGAAATCTTTTGCTTTTTTTTTGTTTGTTTGTTTTTTTCCTGATCTTAAACAGTAGTGATACAGGCATTCATCTTCACAGTACTGTCAGGGGACAAGTGGAGGTACTTGCTGACATCACTCTGGCCACAATTGCATCCCTTGATGCTTTCTACAAGCACAGTATGAACAAGTTTTCTCTTGTCTGAGACACAGTATATAGTGTTTAGTATCCTGATTGACTTAAAACTTAAATATTTCCAAATGGCGCAAATTTTCCTGCTCCTTAAGCACACAGTGCTGAATTTTACTGATCTTCCTTGCAGTTTTTGAATACTGTAGCCTCTGAGGGCCATGGATATAATGATCAGTTATTCCACCATAGATGCACAAGCAGAGGAATTGGAGCTAAATCTCCCCTGGTAATGGAGCACAGCATTGGCATATGAAATGAGGGGAAATTGCAGTGTTAAGTTTTTATTAAAATTTTCTGTCAGATAATATATATGCTTATTAAATCTCTTGCATAATTGATTCCTACATAACTACTATACTTCTTTCCCCTTGCTCCTTCAGTTCCTACTCATTCATCCTCACAACTAAAAACATCATTTCCTACTTCACCAAGAAAATTGAAGCAGTTGGAGAAGAACACTGTAGATTTCACCAGTACACACAACATCCTTATCTGCTCCAGAGTTCCAGCTCTCTCCTAGTGGAATAGGTAGTTCTTACACCTCTGCTAGATTCTGTCTATCCTGACGTAAAATAATGCGGAAGTCACTACTGCATCACCCTCACTGACATCTGAGCATGATTTTCTGCCATCTTTAGACAAATTTAAAAAACCTCTCTGACGGCCCATCGCTCTATTCTGCTGCTACCCACCTCTCAGAGGCTGATCTAAACCCATTGTCTCCAGTCTCTCTCCTCAGGTTCTCTTGAAAGGAAAACAGCAAAGATACCATCAAGTGGCCTCTCTCCACTAGAACTGCCCTTCTTACTCTTACAGGTGTTCTAATTGCTGGACATGATGGACACGTCACATTCTTAAGTCTTAACGTGTCATCAGTATTTGACATAGCTGACTGCTTTTTCCTGAAATGTTTTTTTATTTGGCTTCCAGGGGAAAAAAGCATTCTTGCCTAGCTTAATCTCTGCCTTTCTGCCAACTGCTCACAGTTTTGCTGGTTTGTCCTCATCTCCCTCAGCGTGTCTGGAGTGACTCATAGCCCACGCCCTGAATCTGCCCTTTTTTCTACCTAAGTTTGCTCCCCAGGTTGTCTCATCAAACTTGTACCAGATATTACCTGTGTGCTAAAACTGTGTCTGTAGCCCAGATTTCTTCTCTCAGCTACAGACCTTTGTTACTAATGTGGTGCTGCTTTGGATTTTCTACTTGGGTATCCAAATAGGCATTTTAAGCATAACAGAGTAAAAACTGAATCCTTTCCCCTACCACAGACCAGATCTTTCTACTTCCTCCTTTTCTAGTCATGGCAACCCCATCCTTTTTAATTGCTTAGGCTCCTAACCTTGAATTTTCTTTTTTTCCCCTTATTTCATATCTATACTATTAGAAAATCCCACTGGCTTTACTGTCATATGATATCTGAAAACTTTGTCATATCAGCAAAATGCAGGACTAGACTGGTATTCCTGAGCTAGGTGTGGTAGCACAAGCCTATAATCTCAGCAGCCTGGGAAGCTGAGGCAGGCAGATCACAGATTTGAGACCAAATTGGACAACTTAGTGGCTTAGATCATGTCTCAACAGTTTAAAAGTTTTTTAAAAATAAAAATGGACTAATTAAATTTAAAGGAGGAGCTGGAAATGTAACTCAGTACAAAAAATAAAAGGTATACTGTTCTCTTTCTTCATGTCTTTCCTCATATGTCATGTTCTCAGAGATGTTTCCTCTGGCCATCCAACCTAAAATGCAGTTCTCCCTTTCTGCCAACATTTTATATATATACCTTTCTTGGAGTTATGAGCTTACAGATTGTATATCCCTTATCTAGAATGCTTTAGGACCAGAAGTATTTTCGATTTCCAGCTTTTTGGTGCTAGAATGTTTGCATAGATAGCTATGAATTTAAAAATCTGAAATAGTCCAAAATCATAGTTTTGATGTATCACCAACCAGCTTAAATCCTTGCTTTTAGGAATGATGGAAATTAAAACTGAATCACAGGTTTACAAAAAGATTTAGAGTCTGTTCCTGTCTTCTAACTTTCCAATTTAGATAGCTGGAGGAGGCACACTCTGAACAAGCATTTAGACTGGCCCACCTGCAAAGGCGGAGGCTGGCTTTCAAGGGTTGGATGGTGGGCTGATGTCCTGTAAATCATTGGCTCAATCTTGGTGTCGCAGTTCTAGAATCTTTACGGCTGGCAGATGGTTTTGTTCAGATTCAGTGGCTGGAGTCTTGTTGGGCATAGTTGAACATCCCTGAAAATCATTCATCCTGGTGTCTTCTGTCTTGAAGAGAGTGAGCTCATGTATATTCAGAGCTAATCAACCTTGTTTTTAGACAGACACTCTCTATGTGAGTAATTTATCTGTATGGAGAGCTGAGAAGGAATTTGACTCAAATGGTATGGCAACACAGGATACAAAATGGAAGTCAGACTTTGTTCTTTTAGTTACTTATTGGGCACCTTTAGGCCCAAGCAAAAAGGTAAAGTTCATCGCAAAAATGGCTATGTCCCTGACTATCCCAAGGGAAAACACAAATGTTTTTGATGGGCAAAAGGTAAGAACTCAAGATTCTGCCTATTTTCCATACCTGTAGTAATCCTTGACTGTGTTAGTGTTGTACAAACAGAATGGGTTGTTGACTGACTTTGAAGAGAAGGAGGTCCTTGTCACTCCATAGGTGGAGTCCTCCTCTAGTTTGAGACCTAGTGGTTTTCCAACTACCTCAGTCATCATCTGGACGTTGTATGTGCCTTGAACCTCTCAGCACACTTAGTGGATGTTATATCCTCTTGTGCTAAAGTTTGGAGCCACAAGCTTGTGGCATATCTTATCTATGGCAAATGATTAGAAGGTGAAGGAAAAAACGACAGATTTGCTTTTCAAGTAGTACCAAGCCACTACCTCCAAGCTGCGAATGACCAACTTTCCAGGTAAATTCAGTTTTGAATTCTGGGAATTTTGAATGTCCAATCTTGATTAGATTAGGAATGCCATTGCTTCTCAGCGTTTTGGCTGAAATCAAGTGTATCTCTTCTTATCAGCAGATTAGGAATGCCCTCCTGTATACATTTACTTGTTTTCTGTCTTCCTGCTAGAATGAAACTCTATGAAGATAGGACTTTTGTCCAGTTTGTTTACTACTGACTCTTCAGCTCTTAGAGCAGTTGGTAATACTCAAAAATTCATTGAATAGAGAATATAAACCTCATCTGAAAATAGTCTTTAAGTACTAGAGGGGTTGTATAAGAAAAATCTCGCATACTGCTTGATTAATGGTTTGATGACCAGCATTATTGAGCTTTGTTATGCTATGCCCACCAGCCACTGTTAAATATACTAACATAGGATAGCACATTGCATCCCTGCAGTATAATAAGATAAAATTAAGGGGTTCCTAAGACCACCTTCAGGTTTCAGTGAACTTCCAGGAGAACTCACAAGTTGACAATGCTGTTTTATTCCTGGTTACAGCAGAAGAATACAAATTAAATCAACAAAGAGAAGAGACATATGGGACAGGGTCCAATGACAACCATCAGAAATTCCTCTACCAGAAACTGTGTGGCCACATATGTGGGGTCTTGCCAGCCACTAGAGCCCAGAGCTGGAGTTTTCTAATGGAGTTAGTCACAAAGGCAGGGAAGATCATCATTCATTCTTACTCTTACTCTGAGTGACCAACCCCAAAGCCCAAGGTCTGTACAATAAATCATTGTTAGCATAGGGTATCTGGCATGACCCTAGCCCCCTAAACACATACTAAGCAAGAAAATTCCAAGGACTTAGAAACAGCCACCCAGGAGCTGATCAGAGAGACCAAGCTTTATAATATGAGGATGGTAGAAATAATCCAGACATGCTGAGTTCATCCTTCACTGTGCATGAGATGAGTGCTATGGTTTCCTTTTACAAATGGGGCCACTTGAGGCTTAGACCCTATCCTTTGTCTGAAGTTACATTGTAGTCTCTTGATTCCACTACTATGGTTAGCAGATTTTCTAATTGCACTTGAAAAATCATTATAAAATAGTGTCTTAAATGTATAAATCAATTTGGACAGAAAAGACATCTTTACCTGTATCTGAGAACATGGTCTGTCTTGCTGTTTGGCACCGATTTGTGTGGAAGAGGGCACTGGGAATGAAATTCATAACCTCTTGCATATTAAACGTGCTCTACCCTTGAGCTGCAGCCTAGGTCTTGTTAATTTTTTGTTAATAATTCATGTCTCTCAGTTGATTTTTTTTTTTGTAGGTTTCTAAGCATTATAGTAATATACAGTGTGTGACCACTATTGGAAAATACGTAATTTTTGGCGGGGTACTGGGGATTGAACCCAGAGTGTCATACATACTAAGTAAGCCCTCTACCACTAAACTATGTCCCCAGCCCTTCTGTGGGCTTTTAAAGTAACTGGCAAGATACAAACTAGTAGCATATTAAGTAATTATCTCTAACTGCTGGAGTGACAGGTGATTTGGGGATTCGTTTTCTTGAAGCTTGTTTTTGAAAGTTTAATATTTGAGCATGTGAAACTTTTCTTGGTTGTGTGTGTGCACGTGTATGTGCACATTCTCAAACACTAGGGACTGAATCCAAGACTCACACGTGCTCAGCACATGATCTGCCCCTAAATGACACTCCCACTCCTTATTAGGTATAGCTTTCTTATAAAGATGCAATTGCCCAAAAGCTATTTCTAAAGTGTTTTTAAATAACTATGTTTTAAAATGCATTTAAATAGTTCATTAGAAAAATATTTTATGTTCATAAATATTGCCTAAAACTTAAAAAATAACGGAAAACTTTTTTCCCTGAAAAAACACAATTTTAACTGCCCATAACTTGAAATCATAGCTTATACAGTTAAAAGATGAAAGCTGGGAAATGTATTAATATACATTGATTTTTCTTTTAAGCAATGGAAATTTTGTAAATCAATATTCGGTATTTTAAGTTACAGAGTATAGAATTGTTTTCATAGTTGACCATAATCTAAGTATTTAATATCTATTATTTACTTTTTTGTTTTTTGGTACCAGGAATTGAACTCAAGACCTTGCACTTGCCAAGCAGGCATTTATGCTGTGGAGCTATATCCCTGGCAATTGGTTAATTAACATCTAATTCATTTCTAAAATCTGCTATTCAGTACCTTATACAGAGATACTCACTTTTTCCTAACTGTAATCTCTTCCAGTGTAGCGTTTCTAACAAGATGACTGTTAACGAAGACAAAGAAAATATCTATGAAGTTTGCAAAAGGTGTGTAGCAGTACTTTTTCCAACTGCACACCTTCCCAGCAGTCACTTGTCTAGTTTGTATTTGGGATGTGTTTTTCATTCTGTCTTACGTATGCTTGTGCTACTATACCACAAACTGTACAGATTACAATTACTATGTCAGGTGTCCTCAGATATAAAGGGCATTTTGTGCCACTTTATAGCAATCTGTAAGTTATCTGAGCCACTACTGTGTGTGTTTTTTTTTTTTTTTAAGGAAAAGTAAGGAGTAGTGATAAAAGGAAAGAATGCAGGTGTGACTTTTATGAAGTAGCAGTGACTAAAATTAAATTAGTGTTGAATTTTGCAAATATTTTGCATGGATGCAGTGACTAGTACCAACAGCTGAGAGTACAGTCACTAAATTATGCAAAGCCACCACATTCGGAAGTGTCCTTAGAGACCTCCTAATCTGTCCTCTTCCCTCCCCTTGCTGTTGAGACAGGCACACTTATGCTGGACAGAGTCCTTAGGGCTTCTTTCCAGGTTCTTGGTATCCCGAAAGACTTGGTCAGGACACTGAAAAGGCAGCAGAAGTGTGCATTTGTTGAAGGAAAGAAAGAAGTATGTTCCTCAGAGTGAGAGCTGGCAGATGAACAGGCTCACGGAGGGTGAGGGAAGAAGGGTCTTTTGTATCAGAATTCCTGGGCTGCTTCTCCAATGCCGAAAAGGCCTTGAACAGTCAGCCTGTCACACTCACTTGGCATCATGCCGTGTGCAAACTGTCCTATAAGAAAGCTTGTTTGGGCCAGGGATTCAGCTCAGTGGCATGAGTGTCTTCCTGGCAAGCACGAGGTCGTGAGTTTGATCCCCAGTACCAAAAAAAAGAAAAAATAGGAAAGCTTGTTTGGCATCCTGCATCTGCACAGAAGGCTTGGAAAGTGCAGCTTCTGATTGGTCTGGGAGTAGCCCTTTTCTGCATGGCTCTGGTTGGAGTGGTGATGACTGTTGTGAAGAGTAGCCTCCTCTGTTGCCCTTGCCTTACAGCCAGGTCAGGGGATGAACATGTGCGAGTCCCTGTATGTGCAGACAGAGGTTTTCAGAGTGCAGTCTTAGAGCAGCAACATTACACAGGAATTTGTAGCTATGAGGCCCAGAACTCTGGAAGGGACCCACTAACCTGTATTCAGTAGGAGTTCATCCTGTACATGCACAAGTTTGAGAACTGTTAAGGAAAGGATAGGTAAGAATTAGATTAACATCCACATCCAGAATGGTTCATGACCATTTAAAGACATTGTTAAACAAAGGAAGACAAGGTCAGTTTGTTTTTCTAATGAAAGTACTTTACCTCCAAACAGAAATAGATGATCGCAACCCAAAAAGTTTTATCACTTGGCCGTACCATAGTTATGTCCGGTGTGACATTGGTCAGGTCACTATATCTCTTTGGGCCTCAGTCATCCAATCCAAAAATGGATTTTCTACATAATCTCATCTGTAAAAATCCATAGTCCCTACTTTATTTTATATTATTGCTTTTGTTTTGTTTTATGGAGCAGAGCACAGTGGCTACACATCAGTGATATCCCAAGTTTAGAACAGAAATGTTACCTTGGGAGAAATTTTTAAATTACAGCCATGGTACTAAACTTCAATGAAGTATAAGCCCTGCTTGGTACTGCTTTTACTGCTCTTGCCCGGAACACTCTTACTATGAAAACTTATAGTTAAAAAAAATTATAGTATCTGGATGTTGGTTAAGTCTCTTAAAAAGTAAACTCATCCCCATCTGTGGGTCTTCCTGGCTTAAGTAATTATTTTTCTAGGTAAGTAACCTCCAGGTGAATTTTTTATAAAATTGATTATATCAGATGTCACATAGTTGGACACAGTTATACATGCTTAAGTCGGCAGTTTTGAAATAGTGCCTTCTCTCCATAGAAGAACGTGTAATAGGTTTATTGTATACATTAATCCTTAAATAAGGTTTTTTGTAGTCTCCTCTATCCTTGGGCACATCCCAGGGCTTCCAGGAATATGTGAAACTACAGCTGGTACCAAACCCTAGACATAATATGAATTTTCATATATATACCTATAATTTTTAATTTATAAATTAGCCTCAGTAAGGGATTAACCACAGTTGTCAATAATAGAACAATCCTAACCACAGGCTGTAATACGCTGTGTAAATGAGAACAGTTCCTGCCTGCAGTTAGGCTTCTTATAATGAGGTGAGGGAGTGAATAAGTAGGCATTGTGATGGTCTGTGGCCTCCACATAAGGGAATACAGGGCGGGTAGTGTGGATTCACAGGACAAAGGATGGTTCATTTCCCAGGCGGGACAGGACAAGACTTCATTACATTCCTTAGAAATGGCATGCAATTTTAAAACATTATTGCTAGGGCTCCCCATTCAGTACTTTTGGACCATGATTGACCATGGGTAGCTGAAATCATGGAAGTAAAACCATTGGTAAAAGAGTAGTATAATTCATTCATTGCAATTTCACTGACAGTAATTGGATGGCCTTTTCTGAATTAGACCCACCTATTACCTCCTCAATCCTTTTGTCAGATGTGATTTAAAAAAATGTTGCTTGTAGTCCAGCTACTGGGAAGGCTAAGATGGGAGGATTGCTCAAGGCCAGCGTGGCCAGCATCAGAACCTGCCTGAGTTTTTACTCTAGTTTTAACCATACCACCCATTCCTGTCCATAAACCTCAGCCATTTAACAAGGACTGCTTTTGTATTAAAGCAGGAATATTCTGTTGAAAATATTGAATCATACGGTACTAAAATCTATGTAGCATTAGATTGCGTTTTTACTTGATTCTCATTACTTTAGCATTTTAAAAACAAATTTAAATTCTGATTTTGGTTTTTCTGCTTACACAGCAAAGATTCTAAAATTGGAGAGATCGTGGTTGGTGAATGTCAGTTAACAACACTGAGCCCCAAACCTCTGCACTTTCCAGTGCCCACTTTGAATCTGAGTGGCCATCAGGAGCCTATAATATCAAAGCCCTGGATGAATGGTAACACTTTCCTTAATATAGTCCTGTCAGCTTTGGGCAGTGTAAAAACCATAGGAGACACTTCCATCAGAAGCATAAAAGTATAAAGAGAGAAATATAAACAAGAATGGAATATGTTAAAATTACCTTTAATACTTTTAGTGGGACAATTTCTGACACATCTTTTTATGGTGTAGCAGTACAGGTAAATAACAGCAAATACCTAAGCTATTTATATATTAATTGAGTGTATTTATATATCTTCTAAGATTTATGTCAGGTTTTTAATGATTCATAATGCTCTGAACAAAATAAATTCCATCAAAGAATGAATTCAGAAACTAATAGGTTTGTACTACATGTGCTTGAGTCTTCTGTACCTATGTGATGCTGACTTCCTGCTGCCTAGTGTTCTGCACTGTACCAAATTTACAGTAGGCATGTGTTTTCTCTCAAAAAGCCAGAGTTTCCCAGTGCAAATTTCTGCAACACTGTGCAACGAAACTTCAGATAGTTCCTGTTACAGCTGAAAGCTACTGAGATCACAAAAATAAAATGATTTAAAACTAAAAATATTTCTATCTATACAGAAGAATGTTTCTAAATGCCCTAGTTTTCAAAAAGACCACCAGTAAGGAATATAATGGTTGGCATATTAGCCAGTGTGGGATGCCTTAACCATATTGTAGACCAGGTAAATTAACCCACAGGAATTGGTTTCACACAGTTGTAAAGGCTAGAGGTCCAAGATCAAGGATCCAGCCAGGTTCAGTTTTTGCTGAGACCTGTGTTTTTGGCTTGCAGAAGACTCCTTTGCTGCTAAGTTCACAGTCCTTTCTTGGACATGTGCAAGTACGGAGAGCACTTTGGCATCTGTTCTTACAAAGATGCTCATACATGTGACTTCATTTGACCTTAAGACTTGACCTTAAAGGCCCAGTCTCCACATACAGTTGTATTTCAGGTTAGGGCGTTAGTATTCAGTTCGGCAGGGAATCCCAGGCCAGTCTGTAGCACCTGGGTCTGGCAGTACTCTTCCATTAGAAAGGCTTAGTGCATGCAGCATTTGTCTCTTAGCGGTATATCATTTGAATGCAGTGCTCAATACTACACTGTAAGGCTTCTAAGAAAGTTCTCTACAGTTTACAGCGAAATGTTAAATTCAGATCTAGAAATGTATAGCAGTACTCGATGCCTTGTTGTACAGTAACACACATGGCAGTACAGTCTGTAAAAGACACATGAACATTTCAGAGTGAAACTTCAGAGCACCTGGTAGTGACCATTGTTCTGATGGGAGTGAGGGTGACACGCTGCTATAAAATGCTATTCTAATCATTTCTAGATGTCAGATTTCCCGGAAAATCTTCTGTCCTAAAGCTGCAGAATCCTGAAGCTTGCGAAATATTTAAAAGGGAAAAAAATATAGAGGTTAGTAAAAAAAAAAATCTTCTAAATCATGACCCATACATTGGGCCACTTTTGGTTTTTATTCTCTATCATTTTTTAAAAGCAGTCCCAGAAACACTGATTTTTAAGTGGGACTGAATGGTAAATCACAGAAAAGAAGCAGTGACCTAGAGGATATGCACACTATAAAAAGTTAAAAGTAGAAGAGAGAGAACCCAAAACTGAAAATACGGGATAAACAGCTCCCTGTCATGAAGCTGGTGATGCCAGCATTTTATGGGAAGTACGTGGCGCTTCCCTTCCAATTGGCTGCCTGTTCCCTTAGAGAAGAATTCTCTATAGGGAGAATTTGAGTTCTAATAAGTGCATCTGAAATGTGATGCAGGTTATAATCCAGTTAACTCTGTGACAGTGGAGCCAAAAGGATACAAGGAAAAAGGGACTGTAAAGGCTTAACCCCAGATGGTGTGCATCAGACAGGGGAGTCCGTGGGATATTTCTATGGTTTCCCCTCAAGTTTTCTAGGAACCAAAAAGTAAAGTTCTAAAAGATGCGAAGTAAAACAGTATTAACCTTGTTGGAATATTTTACACTAAGAAAGATTAAGAAAAATCAAATCAGTCTAGACTAAAAATGTAACTGTGGTAGGTTTTATTTTTTTCTTAGTGAATGAGTAAGCAGTTTATTTTGAAGTATTTCTGCTTCAGGGTTGGAAGCATAATGCAGCTGTGGAGCACAGACTTGATATGTCTGAGGCCCTGTGTTTTGAGGCCCAGCACCACAAAGATTACACATAAATTTCTGTTTCAGATGTGTTCTCACTGGACCATATTTTCAGTTAACACAGAAAGGTCTTTTTTTTCTAATTTTCTAGATGTTCCAAAAGCCACTGGGGCTGATGATCCCCCATGGATACTGCAAGTTTCATTTTAATACCATCCGAGGCTGTGAGCGATCACTGTGCAAGTTTGCTCACGTGCCTGAGCCAGGAGATGAAAAGGTAAAACGGAGGAAGGCTGAAGTGAGCACAGCTTTTTTGAAGTGGGGAGGGGCAGGTACTGGGAATCCAACTCAGGACCTCAACTTGCCAGGCAGGCACTGTGCCACTGAGCTATAATCCCCAACCCTGGTGGAGTTTTTAATAGGAGCCTTGGCTAGCCCCTGTCTCCTTAAATGAGCGGACATTGAATGGTTTAAAGTCATAGGAGAAGAGTAGTATGATTTGGCTATGGGAAGGTGAGAACTCTCAGGAGTAATGACTGTCTGGGAGGAAAGATGAAGAACTTCTCTGGACAGCCCATATTTACTTCACAAACTTGGGAGTGCAGGAAGAGGAGGGGATGAAAGTGAAGTTGGAGCAAAGGCAGTAAATCCCTCTGCTCTCTGAGGTGGGCGGCTCGATTGCTCTGAACGGCGGGGAGTCAGCAGCCCGTGTCCCAGGCTACCTCAGCTGCAGTGTCGTCTTGACTTCGGAGCACTGTGAATGAGCTTTGCCAACCAAGAAGCTGGGGTGCTGTGCTCAGCAGCTGAGCCCTGCACAGCCCGGGCTCCAAGAGTTTTTCCTATCTCGGTTGTGCATTTTAATTTGGACTTTCAGTTTCTTCTCAGTGTGGATGAGCTGTCCTGTTGTGCTTTATACAAATGGCATTATTTATGTATATTCTTTTGTGTATGGCTTCCTTTTTAGTTTTAGTTTATTTTTTAAGAAACCGGATCTTGCAGTGATGCCCAGACTTGGCCTCAAACTCCTGGACAGAGCCATCCTCCACCAGCAGCCACCTGAGTACAGCACCTAGGCCTACAAGTGATTGCCACAGGGTGGTTTGCCTAAGTTTGCTTTGTATTTTTGAGATAGGTCTAAAGATGTTTTTTTCACTGCTGCATAATAGCTGATATTCCACTGTGTGAGTGTACCAAGACTCACTTGGTGGATAGATGCTACTGCTGACAGGCATTCAGTGGCTCCCAGAAGTGAACATTACAAGAATAGTGTCCTTGGTGATCTTCTGTGCATCTCTGAGAATGGGTGTACACACCCTCGAGGCTATACTTCAGGCAGGAGTTGCTGATCCCGGGGTCTGTGTGTGCTCATCTTAGTAGACACTTAGTAGATGCTGAACAGGGTTCCAGATGGCTACACAGGTCACTGTCAGCAGAGCGTCAGTTCTTAGATGGGTCACCTGCTTTCCACCTGTGGGTAGGTTAAGCCTTTTAACTTTGCCTACCCCAGGGGTAAGTAGTGATATCTGCCCTGGTGATGGGTGGAGTGGAGCATCTTTCCAAACTTTGATTGGACATTTGGATATATTCTTTTTGAAAGTGTCCAAATATTTTCCCTGTGTCCTATGGGATTCTTTCATACTAACACACTGGAACTCAAAAAAGGTTTTTTGTTGAATATACATAAGGTAAATTTTTTTACTACTTTATAAACTGCCTTTTCATCCTTTTAAAACTGTCTTTCAAGAAAGTTTTATGTAGTCTAATTAGTCAATCATTTTCTTTTTATGGTGTTAACTTTTTGCACCCTGTTGAGCTAAGATCAAGATGAGGTTCCCCTGTGTTTTTTCCCTTAGAAGTTGACTGTTTTGCCTTTTGCATTTAGAACTCTAACCCAGCTAAAACTGGTTTTTCTTTATGAGAAGCAAGACCACTTTTTTCCATGTGTACTTCCAGGTTACCCAGCACCATTTATTAAATAGATGCTCATTCCCCCATGCCAGAGCCATGTCACCATGTCACAGATCTGGTGACAGTATTACAGTGGCTCTCCCTGAGCTCTGTTCTGATAAGCTGTCAGTGTGTTTATCCTGGCACTAGCAAATGGTTATTTTTAAACTAATTTAAATAAGATTTCTATAATGAATTCAGTATGCATCTCAAACCTATGAGCTAACCAAACACCAGCCTTCAGCTCATTTTAAAATTTTGAAATAAGTCAAAGAATAAAATTGAAATTTTTGTAGTTCTTATAAAATACAGAAAGGTAATTTTACATTTTTTGACTTTTAGGTTTGCATGGATGTGTTTAAGAAATATATAAGTATCAATGAACTGTGTTTACTACAGCGTGCAGGTATGAAGCAACTGAATATTAAAGACTTATTAATATGCTGTTTTGTCTTATAGTTTGAAAATAAGTTTAATACTTCCTAAGTCTGAAAGCTGAGTGCCTTTGATGGCTCAGTTGGCCTTAGGCTTAAAACTACATATAGTAACTTGGTTAATAAAAAATTGACTACCGTAACTTCCTTATATAATATTTTCATGACTTAAAAATTCCATGTATAGATTAGGAGAAAGAGGAACTGTTAATTAGCCTTTAAATCTATGTAAAGGGGTCATTTAGAGCCAGATCCTTCCCTCCGTCCTTTTTACACTTATCCAGTGGACAACACACCATCCCCAGGAAGTCGTGTGTAGCTTCCTAACCAGCGAGCTCCGTCCTGTCCCTGCCCCTTGGCTGGGATGCATCTCCTTCTAGCACTTTCCCCATGGCCACAGCCTACTTAGCTTCTAAAGCACAGACGTAGTAAACAGTATCAGTTTCCGTGTCAGGCCCTTGTCTATTCTATAGCCCCTTCCTGTTCGTTTCCCTTTCCCTATACCAAACTGTGAGCACAAGGAGAACAGTACTTGTCCATGACACACCACACTACAGCTTCTCACCCATCTGCCAGAAATCTCATTTGGCTGGAAACCAGGTCTGGCAATGCCCAGCATTTCCCAAGGGTTAGGAAAAACATCTCAGAACTTCATAATGAGCAGAAGAGAGGAGATAGGACCCTAAGTGAGAATGAGATCCACAAGATTGTAGTAGCCAAGAAGAGGCTGCACATGGTTGGACACGGATGAATTTTTCAGTTCCAGAAATAGCGTCATAACAGGAACCAAAGAAGGAAATGGCACAGAGATGGTGCAGAGTCCCAGAGGTGTAGTTCTGTATAGAGGCCCACTGTGGTCGTAAGAGAAATATATCTGAATTTAGTTTTAAAGCAATTGATACAGAAAAGTAAGAGCTTATGGCAAAGAATAAATAAAAGAACTCATCATGAGCTGTGGACTCAGGTACATACCTGTAATCCTAGCACTTAGGCTGAGACAGGAGGAATGCCATGGGCTTGAGTCCAAGGACAGACCAAACTGAATAGTGAGACCTTTTCTTAAAAAAGCCTATGGAAATTGTTATAAAAAATAGAAACTTAGAGCAGTTGAGTAGAACAGCTTGGAATAGACTACATTATACACAAGGGGGCTTAGTGTTGACAAAGACCATATGACTTAAGAAAGGAGTTATTTAGTAAATGGTACTAAGATAACAACATGGCAGTATAGAAAGATAAACTCAGAACACCATCTACATAAGGCATGGACAGAACCGCGGGGCTCTGTAGAGTGGCCCGATAGAATTTTAACTTTATTTCGAGATAATTTCCAATTTATAAAATGTTACAACCATAAAAATAAGACAAAGAATATTTGTATCGTGCATTACTTGTGCTTTATGCCCACCCACAGGCATGTGTGCATGTTTGTGTGTGTGTGTGTGAGTATGTGAGAGAGAGTGAGTTCTTACTTAAAGTTGCATTTGGCATGGTCCTTTACTCCTAAGTGCTTCAGTGCATATTTTCTAAAGAATACCCTTTCAGGTAAGGCAGGTAAGGTTTTGTCTTATCTGTTTGTATTCACACTCTGTTACTTTACAGCATTCTCAGCCAAGGACCCAGTCCTGCTTGGTTGGCTGTTCCTTTAGCATCTTTTAACCTAGAACATTTTCAGTTTATCTTTGTGCACATGCATGTATATGTACACATGTGCACGTGAACATTTAAGTGTTTTTCCACTGGCGTTAAGTACATTCACAGTGTAACCATCACCTATCACCACTATTTTCAGAACTTTTTCATCATTCTAAATAGAACTGTATCCACCTAACGGTAACTTGTCATTGCTCCTAGCAACTACCCCCTACCAGCGCTAACCTACCTTCTCTATTGCCTACTCTAGGTTCTCCATGTGTTCTTTCACAGCTTTCTCAGCATAATGTCTCCAAGGTTCATCATGTTACAATGTGTATCAGAATTCCCTTCCTTATTAAGGCTAGTTCTCCCTTGTATGTATACATCACATGTTTCTCTTTTCTGTTGCTCCCTTTGGCTGTTGGTGAGTGAAATTGCTAATAACCTTCACACGGAAGGTCTGGCTCCCTGTTTTCGGTTCTTTTGGGTGGATACTAGGAGTAGGACCATGGGTCTGCTTTCCTGTTTTATATTTAAACATCCACATAAAATTTCCTTTCCAGAAGTTTAATGACTAAACATTTGGAAAAACTACTGTTTAGTGTAACCAAAATGAATCAGTATACTATAATAGCAATTCAAGAGAAAACCGTAAGGTTTTTTTATTCACTTTTTTGAAAAAATGTAATTTCCATAATGTTAATTAAAGTACAAAAGATACAAACTTGATCATACAAATTTAACCTTTAAAAAGCCATTAGACATTGTTGTCCTGATTGTTTTATTTTTAATTTTTTCTCTTTTAAATATAAAAAAGCCATTAGAACATTTTAGATTTACCATTGATAATGTACCAAAATATTTGAGTTCATAAGAATAATAGGAGTTCAGTCAGCTGTTTGCCACAGGCTGAGCAATGCTTCTGCACCTGAGATTGAAGAGCAGCAGGGGACACCAGAAGGTGGTTAGGCACATGAGGGGCACCTGAAGGTGGTGAGGTCCTCGGGGAAACATTCAGAACCAGGGAATGACAGAACCTTTTAAAAAGCAAGGTAGCAGTTTGTATCAAAAGCTGTCAAATGCTTGAACCTTTGTCACTCACCAGAGAGTTACTTGTTAAAAGTATATTAACATTTTTAAAATAATGCAAAAAAGAGGGTCACATAGAAATTAGTGGAAAGTTACACAGATTCTTTTTAGCTAGTTTTTTTAAAATGTCAGCAGTTCTGGTTTTATTAATGAATTACAGTAGATACTCTGTGCTTCTAAGGCAGATTTAGAATGTAAATACAGGCCCCCTCAAAAGCAAGATTTATCTCTGTGTCCACAAATGTAGTGTTACATAGCAGCTTTCTTGAATATTGTACCATTTTAAAGTGGTTTAAAAGTATTGTAATTTTAAAATTCTTCAATTGTGCTGCTGAACTTTGTCATTACTGACTTGCAAGCATCACCAACTAGTAATAATCTTGCAAGTAACTTGGCTAGAAATAAGTATTTCTAGTAGTGATAACACAAAAAACCATAAGCAGCCAGACGTGATAGTGCACACCTAAAATTTGAGCATTTGGGATACTGGGGTGGGAGGATCACCATGAGCTCAGAGTCAGCCTGGGCTATAGAGTGAATTCAGGGCCATCCTGTGCAATGATGTGTTTAAAAACCAAGTAAAAGTGAAAAACAACTTTTACTAAGGCAGTTTTACCCAAAGTGTATAGTTTGATGGGGAGTTTTGAGGTGGGGAACAAAATGATGAAGTGGCCTAAGATAATTTTGGGTCTTTTTGTGTTTTCTGTGAGATGGGAGTCACTGGCACTCAAGCTGGTCTTCAAGTGATTTTCCTGCCTCAGGTTCCAGATGCTGAGATTACAGGCATGGGTCACTACACCCGGCTCCCAGTTAATTGTATTAAAATTGATGCAGAAAAGTTGGAAATAGTCAAAGTGCTGTCTAGAAAGTAGATTAAGGAAATGGACAGAAATTTTTTTTAAACTTTCCAAAATTAATCAGTATATTTTTAGTAAAATGTCGATAATCATAAATAGGAATGAAAGATATCTTCAGAGTCAAATGTACTGGTAGAGTTGAGAGAACTAAAGTAGGCATCTTATTAAAGCAGTCTGTGCCCCCTGGCAGCTCCAGCAGCTTCTCACAGACACAGCCTGCAGCCAAGGCTCAGGCCTTCCTGCCCAGCTCCCTGGAGCTCATCCTGAGCTGGGTGTTAGGCAGCGTGGCCTGAGATCCCGTAGATGGTGTTCGTGTGACTCCCACTCTGAATGCTGAATGTACTTGGTTCACTTCAAATGTCACTTCTGTTTTGACTTTTGCTTTAATTTTCATCAAGTATTTCAAAATGGTATTGGCAATGTGCCTTTCAAGATGATTAATTTATTACTGTCTTTTAAATGTAGAAAATTTTTCTTAGAAAATGTAGATACCTTAAAAGCAACAAATAACTATTTTTCACTTTCAGTAAACATATTTATGGAGTACTATAGGAAGTTTCCTCCCGGGATATATTTTGACTTACAAGTACTCAATGAGCTCCTGCTTTCTTTACTCAAATACTGTTTATTGAAAGAAGTATTTCAGGTAGTCAACCTCAGCATAATGATTAAAATGCTGGTAAGTAACCTGAGAATGTTATTTTTAGAAAATACTTTAAATTAGTTTTGTTTTTTAAATCAGCAGATAAATTTCTGTATTTAAGTACTCCCTAAAAGAAAACTTGTTTTTCAGCATAAACAAACTTGAGAAACTTAAAATGTACTACTAAAAGATATGGAAATGAATGTAACTTTTTTGTTTTGTTCAGCCTGCTCTAAAAATATTACTGCAAATATTTGAGCACGTGGCAACTATGAAATTAAGGAATGCTGTACCTGCTTTAATTGATATCCTTTGTAAGGTATGATTTATCTCTTTTATTTTCTAATTTGAATAATCAAGAAAATAATTACTTCATGTTCACCTTGATCCTCCTTTTATTTATATCCTACATGTCAGAGAATACTATTTGCAGAAATGATTTTCTTTTTTTCTGTCTTTTGAGACAGGATCTTACTATGCAGTTCAGGCTGGCCTTGAGCTCACTTTGTAGTCCAGGCTGGTCTTGAACTCACAACAGTCCTCCTGCCTCAGCCTCCCAAGTGCTGGGACTGCAGGCATGCGCCACCACGCCCAACTCAGAAATGATTTTTTCCTGAAATAGCTTATAGGCAGACACCAGTAGCTAACAAGTCTTCCCCTTAAGCAGATAGTTCTAAGCACCCAAGTGACTGCTTCCTGATTTATAAAATATCTTCAGCTCTACTCTTCAAATATAAAGGAAATTGTTTCTCTAAAAGATGGGAGGGCAGTGTGGAGTCCGTGGCCTGAGGGAGACTCTTCCAGGTAAGGTCTTAGAAGTGACCTCACATCTTTTTTTTTTTTTTTAACAAAAATAAGCAAATTAATACATAAATAGAAAATTGTGACAAAACAACAGAAACACAGTAACTAAAAATTTGTTTAAACTTTGGCACTAAACAAAAAGAATTTTTATGGCTCTTATATAAATATTTAAATTTTGGTTGAATACTTCCCAGTATTTGGTACTACACAGCCAGCCACTTGAGAATAGGCCTGAAAGCAGGAAATCCAGGTTTTTTCCCATAAAACAGCACTGTAACCACCCCGGCAGCTGCGTGGTCTCCAAGTGACTGTCTCTGGTTCCGCACTATGAGGCATGGCGAGAGTGTGTATCCCTGTAGTAGCTGTTGGAAGCTGCAGGGGGAGAGGGGTATGTGGCCCGGTGTTAAGTGTGGGCCTCCCGTGCTCAGCGTCTTGGATTCAGGCCTCAGCTGTGCCGAAACAAATACGAAAGACACATATCTTGAGGACCTCAGAAATTGTCTGCTGTTGAATAACCTGGCTTTCTGCTGAGTGTTTCCCAGTTACACTCCAAATAAATTGCCTCTAATGAAGAACATTAACAGACGATCTTTATCATTTTTGCTAGGTTAATATGAGTCGCCATTTCTAAAAGTGGTAATGCTAGTAGTGTTATCGAATTTCAGGGTTCAGCGATGACAAGGCTGTATCATCATGGAGGAGGAGACTTCTCTTTCCTCTGGCAGTGCACTATACTCGACCTCAGTAACATGAACACCATTGAGGAAGGAGAACTTATTTTATACCACTAGTTTGTCAGTTTATCTTAGTTTTTAAGTCTATCAATAATTGCCTTTTCAGCTTGCTTAGAGTTGGTGCTGTTACAAGTCAGAAACCACTGTATGAAGTCACCAGTGAAGGCAGGTGTTCCCATGGGAGTGCTTTCAAATGTCAGCAGAACAGTAAATGATAATTCTTGGTCCATTATGCCATGAAGTTTGGAAAACTGGGTATAGGAGAAGCATTTGGTTTTGTGTTGTTTGTTTTGAGTAGGTCAATGGGTTTAGGAGAGATTTTCTTTTATATAATAATCTTATATTTTCTGTAATAAACTTAAGTCCAGAAGAACTGATGGAAAATAAAACTATTTAAGTATCGGAGCCTTGTGTGTTGAACAAACTTAAAACAGTTATTTTCACCAAACTGTTTTCAGGTTAAGTTGTATAATCATGGTTCCATGAGGTTTCTGGTTCACATTCAAAAGTGTCACCAAATATAAGCTGATTTTACTGAGTCTAAAGATAAGAAAATTATCTCAGTAGTGATTTGCTGTTATTCTTCACTAAAAGGAATTCTGCCTCAATAAATTAGAAGTTCTAACAGCTGCTCAGATGAGGTGGTGGCACATGCTCGTAATCCTAGCACTCTGGGAAGCTGAAGCAGGAGGATCTCAGGTTCAAGGCTGACTGGGCAACTTGGCAGCTCAATGAGACCCGGCCCCAAAATAAAAAAAGGACTAAGGATATAGCCTAGTATGAAGGCCCTGGGTTCAATCCCCAGTACCCCTCCCTCCAAAGTACTTCAAATATCAGATTTACAGCTGCTTATATGGTGATATTACTCCGTGAAATATAGGTAGCTTCTCTTTTAGTTTCTCCTGCTATTGTTTTGCTGTCCTACCCCAAATTCTTTCTTCTGGTACTTCTTTCAAATCTAGACTGAAAAGGCAAGACACAATTCACCAAGACAGTCAAAAAAATCTGATACTTAAATTTCTAAATAGGGAATTTCAGAGTAGAAACGAAAGATTCTCAGTAAAAATGTTGCTCACGAAATTTCACACAGCTCTTACCTGAGTCTGTCATAATCCTCTACTCTCAACAGTGTCACACTCTACCCACCTTGCTCCTACTAGCCAGGGGCAGGGCTGCAATAAGACTGCTAGCCTGCATGTTCCTGCTTTCCCTGGGTAGCATCGTGCCCCAGAGGAGCTGTCAGGAAGGCAGACACTCTGGTCTCTCTCACCAGTACAGCCGAGGTCCATGGGGAAGAGAGGAGTGAAGCGAATGTGAACCAAGGAAAAACTTTCATACTGATTTTTTCAAAGTGACATCCTATACTTAGTATATATGGGCAGCAGGTCCCACGGGGTCTGTCACTGACTGTTCCCTAGCCACAGCCCCGGGTGAAACAAGGAAAGAATACTTCTCAGGAAGTGCGTGGTATGGGGCTGCCCTGAAAGATCACCTAAGTACCACTAAGATCCAGAGGATAAATGGTTGTACTAACTTAGGAAGAAAATTCAGTTTTTACATTCAAGAGTCAGCATTTTAAATTCTTAAGGTGTATTTGCAGTTGTCAAACACTGAAGAAAATACTCAGAATGTTTTAAATGTTTCGGTTCCCGTCAACATGCATCAGCACTACATCGGTGTTGGTTGTTCACACACATTGGCTCCTCAGCTTTTCCACAGTCTCATGGTAACCACTTTTTTCTCTTCTGCAGCTTGTTGAAGCTGGGATGATGCTTGATCCAGAACATTTGAACTATATCATTAAGCTTTTATGTCAACTGCAGGCTTCCAAACAAGAAATATCTGCAATTTTGGAAATCAAATCCAGGTGAGAAAAATCGTGATACCTAAGGTTAGCTTGTGTGTACTCTGCAGGAACCTGTAAGGATGAAGGCAGAGCGCTTCTACTGCACATCCTCACAGACATCTGCATAGCAGCCATAACGAGCCCTCCCAGCTCTTGGCATCATCTGCCCCAGCTGGCTGCCTCTGCTCGGCCCCACTGAGCCCCTCGGTGCCTCACTTCATCCCAGCATCTGGCACATGAAGCACAAAAGAATTCTTTTTCTCTCTTAGGGCCTCTTGTGCTAGCTTTTTTCTATTGCTATGACAAAATACCTGAGAAAACCAGCTTACAGAAGGAAAGGTTTACCTTGGCTCAAATTTCTGAGCTTTCAGTCCGTGATCCTTGGTCCTACTGTCCCTGCACCTATGTGAGGCAGAACATAATATCGGGGAATGTGCAGCAAGTAAAGCAGCCACCTCATTGTGGCCAGAAGTGGAGAGCGAGCACAGAAGGTGGGGAGGAGGAGATGTGCCCTTTACAGACACATGAACTGGCAGTTTCCTACAGTTAGGCTCCACCTGCCAGCTTCCACTGTCAGTCCTTAGTTCTAAACACTGCTGCCCTGGAGGCTGAGGCTGCAGCACACATTCCATGTCCCAGCCCTGGTGCCTCCTGTGCTGTGTGTTTTCTGTTCAGCCATGGGTCTCGGGAAGCCTTTGCTGTTTAACCTCTGGTAATACACACTTTTTTACCAAAGTATAAGTACCTTAATGAACCATATCTTTTGAAATAAAATTAGGTTTGATGTAGAACAAGTGATGTCAACCACCCAAGTTTTTCAGAATTCTCAAAAGTCCCTTTCTGTCTTTATCTCATTGTTCTTTATCTGCTAATGCAGAGGTTCCCAGATTCTTGATCTGGAGCCCCAAGGCCAAAAGAAATATGTTAGCAGTCCCATTTATTGAGGAGTTAGTTCCAGAACAGTCAGTGGTTGCATTCATGCAGTGACTGATGGTGGCATTGGAAAATGCCAGCACCCCTGCAGTGCCTACCTGTGGGCTTGCCAGGGTACCCTACACACCTTGGTGCAGCTGGGGAACCACAGCTCTCAGGGATGCTGCTGCCCAGCAGGCACCAGCAGTGAAGTTAATTGGAATTTTTCATGTTAACTCTGATAGCCAACATTATTTATGTTCCTATGAAAATTAGAATTTGTGCATGGATTAAATGGATTTGAGGATCTATCTAGAAAGTGAGGTTTTGTAAGAAAACTCACAGTTCTTGACTACAGTCTATTTTAAGTAGGGTGCTCCAGCATTCTGGACATTAAATTCATTCTTTCCCTGGGCCATGTGCTAAAACTTTGCATTTTGAATAGTGGCAAAGAGGTCAAGTGACTGGCTGATTTTAGTCTTTTGCCAGATTAAGTATCAGCTGACATAAGGAAGTATGCACAGAGGCTAGAGAGGTGGGGGACAGCATCCTTGTACCAGGGCAGCTGTAAACCTCCCCCTTTGACACAGTGACTGGGAGTAAGATCTGTTGTGTAGGAAGACTGGAACAAATTGGCCATTTTCAGATTTTGGAAATGAGAGCCAGGGTCAGGGATACAGCTTACTGGCACAGTGCCTGCCTGGCAAGTGCGAGTTTGATTCTGGTACAAAAAAAAAAAAGCTTACAGTTCTATGGAACTATAATTCATCTTAAACTATTGCTGGGCATAGTGGCACATGCCTGTAATCCTAGCACTTGAGAGGCTGAGGCAGGAGGATTGTTGAACGTTTGAGACAAGCCTGGGCTACAAAGTGAGCTCAAGGCCAGACTGAACTGCATAGTGAGATCCTATCTCAAAAAGATACCCCCCCCCAAAATGCCAGCTCTACAGTTGTCCCTACAGTCCTTCATAGTCTACCAGTGTAGGGTGACCACGCAGTGTTCTTTAAAGATTGTAATGCTGAACTGATCTAGAGTGATATCCAGGATGTGCTGCTGGTGAAATGTTCTAAATGCAGCCCTGGCAGGATAGCAGCTGGAGTGCAACTCTGCCCTCTGTAGGAAATTTGTTCTTCTCCAAAGAAAGGTTAAAAACCAGAGAAGGAAACAGTATACCACAACACAGCACAAGTGGCTCATATTACTATCAAATAAGATAGACCTCATAGCAGAGAAAGTGAAGGAGGGTCAGGAAGACCACCTCCTTAGAAAATGACCAGTACTTCCAGAAGACAGAGCTCTTAAATGTGTGCACCAGACAACAGCTTCAGAATATATGAAGCCCAGTGACAGAACTGAAAGGAGAAATAAATCTGTGATTACAGAGGAGGGAGGACTTAAAACAGCCTTCTGTCGGCAAGCCAGAGGAATACTAGGAAATCACAAGAAGGTAAAGTAATTACTGCCACTATCAGCCAGTGGGGTCCATGGATGTTTATGGAACTTCCCACCCCAAAACAGCAGGGTGCACATTCTTTTCAAGCACCTCTGTAACGGTCCCCAAGGGAGACTCATATGCTGAAAAATGAAGCAAACCTTTAAAAATGTAAAAGAATTTAAAGTATACAGACTACATTCACTCACCTTAATGTAATCAAACTGGGAAACAATGAATAAATGGAAAAATCTCCCTGCTTAGACATTGAATAGCATACATGGATGAAAAGGAAGTCTCAACTTGTAGACTATAACTGAGTAAAGTGAAACACATCAGTTTTGCAGACACTGTTAAAGCAGGACATGCTGAGAGAAATCTGTAGCACTAGATATTCTAAGCTTAAGAAATAAGAGCAAAAGAAGCCCAGACGCTACCAAGTGGTCCTAAAACTAATAAATGGATACAGCAAGATAGTAGAATAAATATCAACACAAAAGCAGTCGTGTTTCTATGTACTAGTAAAGAAGTTGGGGAGCTAGAATTTAAAACAGCATTATTTATGAGAACTCAAAAATAACACCTAAATAAAAATCTAATGATATATAACTTATGTGCTCGAAGTTACAAAATGCATGTGAAAGAAACCAAAAGATTAAATAGAGGTACATACTGTGTCTATGAATTGAGAGACTAGTCATAATAAAGAATCCCAAAATTAGTCCATTGGTTTAATATATCAGAATGTAGCAAGGATTTCTGTATGTATTAAAAGCTTATTCCAAAATTTATATTCAAAGGTAAAAGTTAGAATAACTAAAACAACTTTTGAAGAAAGAAGAGTATTCTCACCCCCTGAGGTAAGAACTTGTATAGCTACAGTGACCAAGACAGTATGGTATTAGGTGAAGAATGAATGAGTTTGAAACTTTCCTTCACATACATGTCAGAGCTATTTTTATATCTTTATGTGAGTTGTCTGAGTTTTGTCCCTTTTTTGCCCCTCTTTCTTTTGGGTTCTTGAGATTCATAATACAGATGGTAGGCCTCTGTCAGTGGTATACATGTATTACAGTTTTTCCATCTTGTCAGTTATTTGATTTTGTGGTGGTTTTTGCCACATGCAAAAACTTCTATATGTATGCAGCCTAATGTTTCAGTCCTTTTTTTATTTCCCTCAGTTTTTGAGTTTTTTTTTTTTAATTGCTTCTAGATTTTGAGTCATAATTTCCTCTTCCCTTTAGGTTTTAGAGGAAATTTTTCTGGCTCCTTCTGCTATTCATAAGGTTTCATTGTTGTAGTTAGAGTGTTCATCTGTTTGAAGTTTATTCTTAGGTGTGCTGTGAGAAACAGATCTAACTTCATATTTCCTAAAAGGTCATCCACCTTTCCCAGGAACGTGGAAGAATCCATCCTTACTCCAGGGATTCTTGAGACCACCTCCACCAGGGATACCAGCTGTCTTTTTCCCACCTGAGTCCATGTCTCCTCTTGTATGTTAGCCCACAGAGCTGTGTTCCTGCACTAGTAGTGCACTATTTCACTTTTGGTGCTTTAATAATCTGCTTTAATATTTGTCAGGGCCAGTCCTCTTTCATAGTTTTTTTTCAGTGGTTTTTTTTTTTCTGGATCTTCTTATATGAATCCTTTTCCATGTATTTAACACCAACTTCCTAACCCCAGATAATAACTTACTGGTATTTTTCTTATCATTATATTACATTTATGAGTGAGCTTTAGGAAAATTAACATTTATAATGTGTTAACATTTATAATGTGTCATTCTATTCAAGAACAAGGAATGTCTTTTCAGGCTTATTTGTAGATTTTTCAGAAGTGTGTTATAATTTTCCTCATATAAATATTTAATATTTTGGTGCTGTCTCTTAGTATTTTATTTCTTTTGCTGCATCATCATTCACAATTGATGCCTGTGAATGCTTTGACATTTTCTTCCTTTGTCCTGTTTATCGAGTTTGGATGTCAGTTGTTACACTTGCTTCATGAAAAGAGTGGGGAAGTTTTTCTTCACATTCTGGAATAAATTTTCAACCATACTGGCTATTAATCTAAAGACATTTGCACTGAGCTACTTCCCTCAGATCTTTTGCTTTTTGAGACAAGGCCTTGCTAAATTGCGCAGGCTGAGCTGAAATTTGGGATCCTCCTGCCTCAGCCTCCAGAGTGCTGGGATGACAGTGTGCGTCCCCATGCCTGTCTGCAATCAGAAGTGATTTATACAGCACTGGGACAGCTCACCCTCATCAGCCCCGTATTTGACTATAGTACAGCACTATAGTTGCTGCTTTCATTTTTGTCTTTTTTTCCCAGAAGTTATCCGTCTCAGCGATTGTCTTCTTTAAATCACACAGATGTTTAAAGTCTCTTCCCCATGGTCTATACTCTAATGTACTCAGCCTCCCCTCACTTTCTCAGCTTTTCACCCTCAGCTGAGCTTAGTTTTAACTTGAAGTCAGTAAGGCACTATGAGGTTCTTTCTCTCATCTGTTCTCACTTGGGCCCTATTTGTTGGCATTTTTGGTTTTCCTCTTGTTCTGTCACAGATACTTGGGGAGAGGTGACCGTGATGCGGGAGGAGATGGGCAATGATCTCTCTCGTTCTTTATACTCACACTGTTGTGAAGCTTTGGCATTGTGATATATTCTGTGTATCAGCAGAATAGTTTTATGTGGAATTTGCTACTTCATTCTTATTTTGCCTGTAGTTTGAGGAAGAAAGCCATCTATTTAACTGTTATTTTCTTTAGCTCTAAGGAATTTCTTTTTCTCTTTAATTTTAATTTGGTTTTTGATAACAGTAGTCAAACTTAGGACCTCATGCTTGTCAGGCAGGCACTGTGCTGAACTATATCCTCAGCCCTTTAAAGATTTTTTTTGAGACAAGGTCTCACTGTGCAGTTTGAGTTAGCCTTGAGCTCACTTTGTAGCCTAGGCTGAACTTGAACTCACAACGATCCTCATGCCTCAGCCTCCTGAGTGCTGGGATAATGGGTGTACCAGCACACTCAGTTCCTCTAAAGAGTTTTTATGGCATGCTTTATACATTTGGATTTCTCAGGTCTCTTGGCTATAAACTATAGGCACCAGGCAGGATCGTTACAAGTTCGAGACCAGCCTGGGCTACAAAAGTGAGCCCAAGGCCAGCTGAAACCATATAGCAAGACCCTGCCTCAAAAAGACAAAAAATAAATAAACTATACCACCAGTTAGGAGCAATACTGACTTTTCTGGGGGCAAACTTAAGTATAATTAATTCTTTTTATCATTAAAGGTTACAGCTGGGGCAGTTCACAAGGAACTGGAAGCATGACTTAGATTCAGCCTTGAATGAAGTAGAGGTATGACATTTATCTTATAAGTTGCAAGGATCTCTGAAAATCAGTAATCACAAAAAATGTTTGAATGATAGCCTCACTTAAGGGAAAGTTTTAGAAATGTTACTGTGAAAACACTCCAAAGGGCCAGGTGTAGCTCAGCAGCACAGGCACCTTCCTGGCAAGCATAAGGTCATGAGTTCAGTCCCTGATACCAAAAAAGAAATTGCTTTAGGAATAGAAGTTTGATTTTTTTTTTTAAACCAGTTAACATTTTGAAATGTGAACATTTTAATTTCTAGAGTTGTAGATTATTAAATAAACTAAGTGCTCATTTTCAAAATTAACTTACGTTAAAGTAGAACAATAACCCAAAAATTGTTTTTCCTTGTGACTGGGCTGATTTGCACGGTGCAGAGAACTGGCTGTGCATAGCTGTGACTGCAGCGTGTGAAGCAGGGAGAGCTACTGCACCATGCTGTCCAGACATGGAGAGGAAGAAATGGGGATCTGGGCTGCTTCCCACTTCCTCCAGTGTTGTATTCCTCTCAATTCTGCCTGTGTCCTGCAGGTTAAATATGCCTGGGCTCTGTTGAGTGAAGAGGAATCTTGGGCCACATTAGTAGTGCAGCTAATATACATAAGTAACAAATCTTCATATTTAGATTTTTTCTCATGACACAGACATAACCCATAACCCCTGGGCTGCAGGTCGAACACAACTGTTTTAGTTTTAATCTCTTTATATCCAGTTATTTAGTTGGTATAGAAAATTACTTCGCAGCTATAATGAAAAACAGCAGGAAGATAGTTTGCTGAAATTTGCTTTGTAGCCTCTTCTGCGGAAAGGTCATGTCCAGTGTGGCATCCAGGCCCCAAGTCGTCAACAGCCGGATAACAGTAAAATTCAGTCTTTAAAGGAGTAACACATTGCTGTGGAGCCCATTCATATGCTGCCAGGCCTCCTGCCTTCCATAAAGTCTACCTCCCATGTCGCGTTCACATTGGAGAGTGATGTCACGAAGCGATTTCAGTCATAAACAAGTGTGCCCACCTGTCTGGGCTTCACAGAGGCTTCACCATAGTCAGAAGTGAAGTTCAACACTGTTTCTGGCATGATATATGTTGGCTTGTAAGATATGCAGAGTTTATTTTTTTATCTGTCTTTAATGTCTCTATGTGTGTGGCCCATAAAAATGCATAAGTAACAGTTCTTTTTTTTTCTTTTTTTTAATAATTTGTATAGAATTATAAAGAAAAAGATGACTGGACCAAATTGGGAAATTTATACATTAATGTAAAAATGGACTGTGAAAAATTTGTAGATTTCCAAAGATTTTGTGCTTGTATTGCTGAAACACTCACACAAGACTATAAGGAAGAAAGACCAAGTGTTCCTTTTTGTGAATTTGCTGAGACAGGTAAAATGTCATATTTTAAACCAAATAATGTGTGTTGGGAAGGCGCAGTGCTCTTAACAGGATGGTAAAGCTCAGCATAGTTTTCATCTGAAGATAAATTAATGTTAAGGTTTCAGATGTTCTCCTCCCCCTTATGAATCTTACCATCTACTTATTAAGTTGGATTGCAATGATAAAAGGGCAAGAATTGTGTCTCAGTGTTAAATATTTCACACTCTTATCTTTTCCCTGAGATCGGTAAAGCTCTTGCTAACAGATTATACTGGAGCATCTGAATGTTTGTGTCATACAGTTGCTGCTGTCTTCACTGTAATAAGTCAGTACAGTTCATTTAGTTTTGAGATGTTTAAAGCAAGCTTTCCACTGGAGTCTTTCTCTAAAGGGTTCAGCAAACTTTGTAAAAGACCAAGTAATAAATGTTTTGCCATTGTACATGTACAGTCTCTGTCACATATTTTTCTCTATTTTTTAAATAATCTTGTAAAAATTAAAACCATTGTTAGCTCACAGGATGTACAAAAACTGACCACAGGCTCAGTTTGACACTTGGGGTCAGAGTTTGCTGTCCTTGTGGTAGTACGGTACCTGATGATGGCATGTTTATCGTGCCTTTTCTATCAGTGTAACTGTTTATTTCATTTCCTCCCATATGCCTGCTGTTTTTCAGTTATCAAAGGCCCACAGAATAGTGAGATCGATAAAACCTTGCTGGGAAGAATTGGAATCAGTGCTATGTACTTCTATCACAAGCTGTTGCAGTGGCCCAAGGTACTTCATGAAGGTTTGTGGGTTGGGTTTTGGTTTTGGCTTGGTTTGGTGTTACTTTAAAACTTAAGAACAGAACATAGGTTAACCATGCAAATTAAGAACTTGCTAATAATCATTATAGGCAGTGGAATGAGAGCCAGGCTAAAGAGTGAATTACAGAATGTACTGAGCAAGTAGAAAGGAGGTGGCACAAGATGGGTTATCTAGAATCTCCTTTTAGGGAATACTTAGAAGGCTGGGCTAGATATCATACTTACTTGAGGCAGTTTTCCGCTTATAACTTACTTACTTTACCAACTCCTACCAGTACTGTAATTTTGGAAGAGTTCAAGACACTTTTCTTGAGGTGAACTTACGTTATTCACTATTAACACAACACCTGAAAAAGCACTTCTTGGATTATGCTTGGATACTATATACACCATACATCTTGATGTCTGACTTATCAAGGTTTAGCTCACTACAGAAATAGTCTCATGACTCAAAACATACTGTATTTCTGTCCTTTAGGTTTCTCCGAGGTGGAGCAGAGGACTCAGTGAAGTCTAGTAGAAGGCAGGAAAACCCAAACTAGGGAAGAAGTGCCAGAGAAATGGGGTTACCCAGAGGGTGGCCACTCCTAAATTAACTATTGAAGTATAGCTTTTGTTACTTGCTAGCTGTTCTAAAGGAAGAATTTCATAACTGCATCTGTGTTAGATAACATTAAATTTATCACTTACATAAATATAAAAGTTATGAATTAAAAAATACTTTTAAACCCAGCCCGGTTGTACAAAGGGCCCCAGGAGATCTTGAGCCTTTTCTGTGGTAGACCTGGGGGTGTGTGTGGGGTTGAGAAGTCCACATTTTGCAGTCATGTCCAGTTTCAGGGGAGCCATGGCATTTGATTATGGGCCTGTAAGGAAACCAGGGCTCCCACACAAGAAGACCCTGTTTGAAAACTCGTCATGTTTTGCTGACACTTTGTGTATGAGTATGTTTAAACTTGGTTATTACTCTTTTTTTTCTTTTAAGAAAGATTTGCTTGGCTGTGTGTAGAGGTTTCGGTCCATAGTGGGCAGGCTCCAAGACAGCACACAGCACAGAGGACAAACAGTCCTTTTCAGAGGCTGGGGATTTAGCTCAGCGGCATAAGCGCCTGCCTTGCAAGCAGGCAATCGTGAGTTCGATCCCCAGTACCGATAAAAAAGGAAAAAGACAAAAAAAAAAAACCAAAACTAACAGTCCTTGTCAAAGCAGGGGAGGCAGAGGGCAGCAAGCACACGACAAGCAACCTGGTTATTATTTCTTAAGACATTAGGAGGTTGATGAATTGTTGTCTATCTTAATTAAAAATTTTATCTTATTTAGAAAAACTTTTATCACCTTAATTAGTATAATTTTTAATGATGCCTATTCCTTTTTTGAGCACCATTAAAAAAAACAGTGACCTGAGGATATAGCTCAGTGATAGAGCTCTGAGTATGCTGAAGGCTCCACAGGAATAAAAGGGAAATTGTTGAAATTAAAAATATCTTTTGAGGGGCTGGGGATTTAGCTCAGCGGGATAAGCACCTGCCTTGTAAGCAGGTGGTCATGAGTTTGATCCCCAGTACCGATAAAATAAAAAAAACAAAAAAATCTTTTGAAAAATGCTTGCATTTATAGAGTGAGATTGTGAAAGACTCTGACATGATAATAAGCACCTGGCTCAGAATAATATGAGATACAAAATGAGGGTGTGCAAGCGCACACGCACAGGCCAAGCCACACCTGCAGCCTGTTGTAGTACAGCCCACAAGCAAGGGGCATAGCAACAACCAGAAAGAAGTGCGTCGACCAAAGGCAGCCTGTGAGGCCAAGTGTTCACTCTGTTTACAGGAGAGTACAGCTGCTGGTGGCAGGTACTACACATATGTCTAATTTCTGATGCCACGCCAGAGGTCTCTTCAAGCAGGACCCATGAAATAGTTTATTGAATCAAAACCTATTTTCAGCCAACAGTTTCATCCTTTTTTCACTATCATTCTTTGTGCTGTCTGTCCCTCCTAGACCTGGGATCAATCAACTGAAGAAGAGTAGAAACATAGAATCAGTGCCTTTCCACAGTGAGCAGGAGACCCTTTTGCCAGATGAAAGGTTGAGAGGAAGCACAGGCTGTGAGCTGCTGAGCAGCACTGCTGAGAAAGGGCTGGTTAGTGGAGCTGGGAGGAGTGGGGAAGAGGAGGCACCCTGGCTCTCCCCTTCCTCTCCCTCCCCAGGGCTGGGCACGCCAGCGTCAGACAGCCTGGGCAGTTTAGAAATGCCAGTCTAGGATGACAACTAAACTAGGTGCTGTCTTCTGCCTGCTTTCCTACGGTGCCGCAATACTGTAACGGCTGTATCCAATTAGTGTTCCAATTATTTTCACTCTAGGGAAGGAAGGTCTTGGATAAGCTGTATGAGTTAAAAGTACATTTTACAAGTTTAAAAGGACTCACAGGGCCTGCAAAGGTAGCACCAAGATGTCAAATTGTGAACATTGCAGCAGAAATTTTTCTCAAAAGTGGAAGCCTAGATGGTGCCATTTGGGTATTGAGGGGTAAGTTCTGAGATACGAAGGTATAAAGTCACCTGTTAAACTTGTTATACATTTTTATCTATATAATGACCTAGGTTCATGTTGAACCTTAGTGAATGTGTGTGTAAATATGTTGTTCTTATGCAAAAAGGTGAACTCTTAACAGATGGTCTCCTTCTGGGTGTCTCCCCAAAAGAGTTAAAGTCGTCATTGCAGGGATCCTTGCACACCCATGTTCATAGCATGGTAGTGGAGCACAACCCAGAACAGCCAAGTCTTGGAAGTGGCCTACATGTCCCTCAACAGAGGAACAGATAAAGAAAATCTAGTGTTTACACACAGTGGACTACCGTCTCTAAAGGAGGGTAAATTTGAGTCATTTGTAGGAAAATTCACACTTTGAATCTATAATGTTATGTGCAATAAGTCAGACACACAAACTTAAAAATCATATGATTTCTCTTATATGAGAAACCAGACATTTAAATAAGTCAAAGAACAAAGTAAAGAGTGACAATAAGAAATAGGGAGATAGAACTTTGGCAGATGGGAAGGGGACTAAGAGATTGGGGGAGGGGTACATATATGTGATGCCGGGGGTTTAGCTCAGGGGCTTAAGCACTTGCCTGGTAAGCACAAGGTGGTGAGTTTGATCCCCAGAACCAAAATAAAATGTGTGATGTACATGTACCAACTATTCACAATGATTGTATGTATAATATACTCTAAAACACGCTAATGAAAAAGAAGAAAGTGTATGAACCTAGTTTCTGGCTATGGCCTTATCATTACCATGCCAAAAGCTTTACCTGGGTTATCCTGATTAATCGTCATAGAAAGCCTGCATTCGGGACTATTATAGTCCCCATTTTATAGCTTTAAAATGTCAGCAGTAGGGCAAGGGATATACATTAGCAGCACAGCACCTGCCTGGAGAGTACAAGGTCGTGAGTTCTGTTCCCACTACCAAAACAATAATAAAATGTCAGCAGTACTAAACAGCTTTCCCGGAATGACCAAGGAGTGGAGACCAAACGCAAACCCAGCTTTAAGAGCCCTGGCTTCAGCTGCTGCATGAAATCCCGACTACACGCTGCATAAAGGAGGCAGCTTCCCACTGGTGGTTTATTTCCCTGGTAAGGCAACAAATGACAGTGAGATTAAGCCAGGAGCAGCTTAGTGTGTGAGATTAGTGTGTGAGAAATACAAATTGAGACAGCGCAGTGATGTGCCTGTGTGTCAGGAAAGACGATGACTTTGGCTACTTGCAGCATCTGGTTTTATTTGATTACATAGGCTATAAAATGAAGAATGCTCAGGAATCTTAGTATAGATGGGATGATAGATTTTTATGAGTACAGCAAAGGGCTCCCATAAATACACATGCTAGCTAGTACCCACGTCCTGTACACGTGAGTGCATGTGTGCATTTGTAATATACGCACAGTATATAATCCTTTGTGTAATGGAATGCAGGGCTTGAGTAGACAACAGGTTCGAAAGTTTGGGTATTTTCTGCCACTTAGGAAATAGCCAGGAAGATTCCTAAATAGAAAGAGTAAACAGGATACAAAAATAGAAATTAATGCAAGCCAGAGATCACAAGCTGTGTGAGACAGAAGAGATTTGGCAAGAAGTGGGAAGGAGGGAGTAGCTGATAAAAATGGGATTGGAGCACCCCTCATATCAGGACCCTCACGCCACCCATCTCCAGAAGAGCCCTTGCCCAGACTAAGTACAATCTGTAGCAGTCATGTGGAGAGGTAAGATTTCGCTTTGATGTTTCAGTTTTAAGATTGTTTTAAATTCTGTCAGTTTTAAATATCATATTCCTTTCTTGCAGTGACAATTTCATTACAGTATAATTTTCGTAAGTTTTATTTTTTAAAAACAAGGTCCCACAAAAGTGATGTCCTGAGAACATGTATGTTCTTCAAAAGGGTTTTCCAGTCAACAGGTCGCTCCTTAGAAAATGCAGTGGGTCAGTCTCATGTATGTTAAGTGAGATTAATCCTGATTCATAAAAAGAAAAATGTTAAAAATTATAAAATGCCACTCCAAACCTGCCAGTCTATCAAAGATTGAATCTTGGTGATATAATTTTTGTGAGGGTATAAAGAAATGGGCATTTATAGAAATTTCATTAGGGACTCTTTAGCAAAATGTCTGTCAAAAATTTAAAATGTTTATTTCCTTTTGTTTACTAATTCTACTCTAGGATTTTGTTTTGGGGCGTGGGTTGATAGTATCAGGGACTGAACCAGGGCCTCACACATGGCAAGGCAAGAACTCTACTATTGAGCTATATGACCAGCCTTAAAGTTTTATTTTGAGATAGGGCCTCACTAAGTTGCCTAGGCTGGCCTCCTGAGTAGCAGAGGTCAGAGGCATGCCTGAGGACTTTATGAAGCTTGCTTTGGCACTGTCCAGTCTTTCTTTGGCACTTTTTGTATTCGCCATGCTGATGAGATCACAAAAAGGGTTTACTCCTACGCTTCGCCCAGTGGAGAAAGAATACCAAAACAGGAAGGGAGTGGTATTCAGGAGTGTCTTGTTACAGGCACACTGAGTAGATTAGGTAACTATGCAGTATTAACATTTCTCATGTTTTAGCAAGTTAGGGTTCTGTCCTACAACCTTACAGTTTATAACTTACATATATGACTCTGTACCTGTAGTCAAACATTTCCAAACATTTCCTAGCAGAAATTGTTTTAAAATTAAACTGGGTCTGGGGATGTAACTCAGCGGCACAGTACCTGCCTGCAAGCACAAAGCTCTGGGTTCGATTCCTAGTACAAAAAAACTGGAAAGAGAAGCTGTCCCTCAGTAGAACCAAAACTTCATTGAATTATGTATACTTTATTGTAAAATTGTGGAACCTGTTTTACAAGCAATAGTTTATATTAGGTACTCATAATCTAGATATTTTTGTTCTGTAAGTCTTATACATTTACATGAGACGAATTAATAACAAGTAGAAGAAGGTGGTTATTTTTAATCGTTCTAGGATGAAGAGCATCACTATATGTTTCTAATAACTTTGAACTCTTTTGAGTATACACATTTAAGTTTTGCCACATTCTCCAAACGGTATTTTTAAATACTTGCTATTAGGTATAATTTTCAAGGTGTAAAGTACTCCTTTTTTTCTCTTTTGGAAGAATCAGAGTGGATAATCAGTACTCCACTTTGGCCTTGTGATAGACTGGATGTGCTTAATCGACATAACTTGCTCTGTACAATTGCACATGAAATCATAGCCAAGAGCCTTTACAGACAGGCATTTGAAGTTTTGCAGAATCTACCAGGTTTTCAAAATCCTCAAGGTATGTTTTTTAAAAATCTAGCCTAATTAGCTTTTGTCCATCTGGTGTTTAGCTATTAATAAAAAACTGTTTCCCACCTGTTTGAGTTGTTTTGTGTTCCAGCATACTTTTTAATGAAGTCATTTTCTGTAAAATGTGTTCCTGCAGAACAGATATGCTTTCCTCTGGTTTCAAAAATCAGTGGTGCTCATTTCTGGATTGCTTGTCAGCAGCTCCTAACAAGAACATTTTTGTTGTTCCTCTTTCTCTGTGTCATCTGAAAACAGTGTGCTTAGGTGTCCCCAGCAAGCTTTGCATCTTAAAGAATATTGCATTTGAATAATGAAGAATACCTTTTTCTTCTATCACTAAATACATACAGAACAGTTTACATCATCTTGGAACATAGATAAACTTGGAGTAAATGCAGGCAGTTCAAGGACAGAATGCCACCACAGGCAGAGTTAGTTAGAACTCACCGAGGTGAAAGCTCAGATCATGGGTGGGCAAGCAGAGAGGAGTCCTGAGCAAAGGCTTTGGTCAGGAATGAGCTATGCAGTGGGTCCTAGAAAAGATGAAAGCCTTAATTCTAGGTCTGTGACAGTGAAACTATGGCCCAGAACTATGGCACTTAAACTATGGCACTGAAGCGTGTTTTTGGAAGCTCTAAGGGGTTTGCTATTACCATCCTAGGGCCCCTTCTTGGTGCCTTTAGCATATCCTCTAGAGCTCTTCCGTTTTGCATTTATTCTGCTGAGCTGCTATGTTATAGCATTGTTATGTGTTTCTCCTTTGGCAATTCTTTATCTTAGCCTGGCACAGTGACTGCCATCTCGCAGCTGCTTTGTGGATGGCTATGTTGACAAAGTGGTCAAAGGCAGACTGAACAGATAGTAGCTGCGCAAGATTTTGGAAGACCTAAAAATGGCAAAGTAAAGGAGATTTCTTCTGTGCCAAGGGCTCCCTGGAGTCTGGAAGCGATGTAATAAAGTTGATGCGTAGGCAAGTTTCTCTAGTGAGAGTGTTTGAGACGGAAGGTAAAGGGCATCATTTCCTGTTGAGACCTGCACCACCAAAAGACCCTAAAGCAACAAAGACCTAAAGTCTAGATCATAGACCCAGCTGAACAGAAGGAATAAAGAGCTGGAAGTCTCTGAGATGCAACTTTTCTTTAAATACAAGGTCTGAGCTGTTATTTCATAAACAGAATGGTGGAGTCCTTCTAGACATTGCAGGTCCCAGTCTCAGTGGAGACCAAGTTCACAGGCGCTCACACTGCTCCTGAAATCTTTGTCAGGCTGTTTTTCACATTCCCCATTACAGAGGAGACAGCATGTTTGTTTTTGTCACATGCTTCTCTGTTTTTTACTTCACTGATACGTAGGGCGATTGCATTTTAGTGACTGACTTCTACAGTGGGTAAAAAAGGGCCAATGGGAAAAGGCACAAGAGAAGTCTGAGAAGCTAAGATGAATCACTGGTGGTACCAATTCTTTTCATTTCAGAAACGGTGGAGCTCTCCCAACCTAGCCTGCTTTTTAATAAGCTTTTAGATGCCTGTATAGAGAGCAACAGTCTTGGCATGTCATCCTCAGTGGCAGAATTCATGGTTTCCAAGAACATCCCTATTGATTTTTCCTTCCTGAGAAGATTAATTACTTCTTTAGGAAGGAGTTGCTTATGGCTCAAAGCCAGAACCCACTACAAAAGTAAGTTCCATTTGATATTTTTAAATTGGATATATCATTTTTAGTTTTATTTTCTAATTAAGGGTCCACCTATTTAAGACCACATTTTAAATATGAGAAAATAGAAGTTGATATTTCAGATTCAGAGATAGTAGTCTGAACAGATCTGTGCTTTTGAAGCTTGTTATTTCTCATTTCCAACAATTGCATCTTTATTTCTTTGCATATTAGCATATCTGCTAGAGGACAAGCAAAGGAAATAAGTGACAGAATTTGGGCCATTTTGATGTATTTTATAAAACAGGAGATAAACAGTTGAGCAGAGTGAAGTTTACAGAGTACATACACATTTTATTTATCCCTGCTGTATCCTGGGTCTTCGAAACTTAGAATACATGGCAAGGCAGTGTGGGAGACCCTGAGGTGCCTTGGTACTGTGGCACATGGCACTCAGCAGTGTTCGCATGGCTGCATGAACTGCATCCATCTGTTTACAGCTCTGACAGACAAGCCTGGGAAACTAGCACTTTCTCTGGTCTCGACCACCTCAAAGGTATTTTAATTCTAAAGTAATTCCATGTGGAATCTAGATCCATAAAAGAATTTTTTCTGCCTCCTTGCATAATTTGTCTTAAATTTCCATTTTTGTCATGGCCATGAATATAACATCTATGTGTCCATGACATGTCTCCCTGAGCCAGATGTGTCAAACATCCAAGCTGCCTCTGCCTGAGCTAGAAGTGTTTCTTAGGCTACCTACCATGTGATCAGGTAGATCATATGATCACCATGTGATCACTTTAGCAGGTGGTCATGTTTCCTCTCACAGTGAGAAGGGAAAGAATTAGGATATATTAAGGTAGTAAGGTCAGTAACATACACATGTCTGTGTGCTGGATCATTATGTAAAGTATATTTTAAAAATGTTTTTTGAAAGCAGAATTTTTTAAAATGATGATGAAAAACGTTTAAAAGAAAGAATTGTGTGTCCACAGCTCCTGCATTCAGTCATTGTGTGTTCAGCTCTATCCTGCTTCCCTGCATACTGCCGGGAGCCACACCCAGTGTCATACCTACTATGCTTCTGATTTTAGTTTTTAGAATTGAAGTTATGGGAAGGTCATCTTCCAGATAATGGTAAACTAGAACGACATGCCATCGGAGATAATTATATGCTGTCTGAGCAAAGCATAAACCTGAAAAACCTATGTGACATTTCTATAAATATATTTTTAGTTTGACATAAAATTTTGTGTTAAAGCAGCTAAATAGTTATTTTAAAATTTATCAGCTTCATTAGGATATTTTCAAATATCATACAATTCACCACTTAAATTTTACAATACGGGGCTGGGGATTTAGCTCAGGGGCATAAGCGCCTGCCTTGCAAGCAGGCAGTCGTGACCCCAGTACCGATAAAAAGGAAAAAGACCAAAAAAAAAAATTTACAATACAGTGGTTTTAGTGTATTCGCAAAGTTGTATAGTCAGTACCACAATCAATTTTAGAATACTTTTGTCATTCCAGAAAGAAACCACATGCCCATAAGTAGTTGCTCTTCATTCCCCTAAAGTCCTTTCATCTCTAATAAAGAACTGCTTTTAAAGATTTTTCTTTTTTTTTTTTTTTAGCTATACACTAAAGCAGTTAAGGCCTCTATAATTCCAGACCTTTTGTGTTAGCACTTTTCCTTTATATGATCCACACTTAGACCTTACTGCGTATGGACTGTACTTCTGAGAGTTAGGTAAAGGGAGTGATGGGATAAAGAGTCTTACTGATTTTTTTTAATGTACCTGAATTACAAAACTACATTTAGTAATTTATAGCCATTGAAGTCCTCACAACACTACAGTACTCACTTTTAAAATACTATTGAAACATCTTTTGGATTTATGTCCAGACACAGCTTAACATTTGCGGTGAAAACCTTTTAATGTTTTATAACAACACCTATAATATGGGAGCAATGCCACCCAATTTCAGAGATAGTAAGTTCAGGTTAAAATGAGGTGTTTAGTACAGATGCCTGAAAACATGGTAAATTCCCAAGGACTGGCAGTTAGCATCCACATTAGAAATAGTTCTTGAAGAACTTAAAACATTAAAAAAAGAAACATTTCACACAGATTTTACACACAAATTTATTCATTTTGGCAAAATATCACACTGTAACATTGTCTGTGTACAGTTTGATGTCCTGGGAGTTTTTTAAAGAGGATTTCTTAGCACTCCTAAAAAGCATCTAGGCAGTTTAAAAATCTCTTTTCTTAAAAGGGAAAGTTTTAGGATGTGAATTGATGAATATATCTACAGGGTACAGAGCACTGCAGAATGGAAATGTACTTTATATCTAAATGATTAGCAGACTATTAGACAATCGGAACACTAGTGCATAAACTGTAAATATGTAAAAGTTGCTGTTAGATCAAAGCTCATTAAAACCAAATTAGATAGTCTTGTTTTATTAATTATCCTGAAATTATGGTGTATTGAAATAAATGGAAATTTGCCATTTGAAAGTCTTCAGAGTATTTTTTTAAATTGTCACTTTTTTTTCTTTTTTGTGGTAATGGGGATCGAACTCAAGATCACATGCTTGCAAGACAGGCGCTTATGTCGCTGAGTTAAATCCCTGGAGCTTCATTTTATTATTTTAAAAGTATTTTAGAATGAGTAATGTCAGCTCAGAGCCAGGTATGATGGCACACACCTGTAACCCTGTAATCCTAGCTATTCCAGGGATGTAGTTTAGTGATAGGCACACTTAGATCAATCCTCACTACAGCCAAAAAAGAAAAAGGGAGGTAAGCTCACTATCATAGAATTAGTATAATCTTGTGTGAAGCATAACAGTAGAGGCAGAGGATTTAGCTTAATGCTATAAGCGCCTGCCTGGCACATGTGAGGTCATGAATTCGATCCTCAGTACCCCATCAAAAAAATGAGTTACTGTCACCTATGGACACTTTACTACTTTGGAAGTCTGGGTTGGAGTTGGCGTTAAATTGATGTATTATTTAACTTTCAGGTGCTCTTTCTCTGGGTTGCTATCCACCATTGGAGGGAAATTTATACCGAAAACTTCTACTGATTCCTTGTTATTTATCTGAGATTGAAATGCTTTTAGCTATTGAAATCTTCTTGGTATCTAATGCTAGTAGTATTCAGAGTCCGGGAACTTCTACACAGGTCCTACAAATAGTTTTGAAAAGGTTGGTTTATAAAACTTTATCTGCATTCTGAATATAACTTGTGATTTGACACCTGCTCTAGAATATAAATGTTTTATATATCTACATATTAATACACATTGTGTGTCTATGTTGCAAACTTCCTTAACATTTATATTGACAAAGAATTAGGCCTTCCAGGCATGGTGGCACATACTTATAATCCCAGTGCTTAGGAGGCTGAGACAGGAGGATTGCCATGAGAGGCCAGCCTGAACTACACAACAAAATCCTGTCTCAGATTAAAAAGAGAAAAAGAAAAATAGGCTTATTTGAGGCGTAAAACAAAAACAAGGGGCTAGAGATGCAGCTCAGTGATAGAGTACACGCTTAGCATGATCCCCAGCACCACTGCTCTGCACACACACACACAGGAATACTCAGTAGCACTGGGAAATGTGTCAGTGACTTCAAAGTTAGATGTTGAAAGAAATGGGTCTTTATGTACTTAGGTAACTATCTCCTGTTTGGAAATCTGTACCTAAAGTGACCATCTTTTTAGTCACCCCCGAAATAAGGACCAGGTCTAAAAGAGAGATGCGTGGTAGTTAAGTTCAGTGGAGAGTACTGTTGAATAAAGCCTTCAGCCGATCTTTATCTTACAGTGTTGTTACACATGCATAAATATTATGATGTAGATGTTGGACTAGTGTGACACCTTTTCAAGTCATTTGTTTCAAAGTCCCAGACTTTTGACTCCTGCAACTCAAATTTCTTGTTAGCCTTGTCCAGGAACCTTGTAGTATCAGGAAGGATTTCCTTCAGCTCTTGAGAGCTTGGTGGAAATCTTGCTTCAGTTTATCAGTGTTCACAAACCCCATGGTCGGATTGAACTCTGTTCCATCTTAGTTATCTGTTACCACTTAAGACTATCTCAAACCTATGGGGTTGACCAGTGAACATTCTCTTCATGTCTTTGTGTCAGGAATTTCAGAACAGATTAGCTAGATGTTCTGGCCCAAGGTCTTTTATGTGACTCTAAGTTCTTTACAGTGAAGTTAGGAGCTATGGTCACCTGTGTGACTGGGACTGGAGGACCCCTTCCCTGGATGACTCGCTCACACACCTTGAAAGGAAGCCTCAATGCCTAAATAGCTTTCTAATCTGTTAGCTAACTTCTCCCAGACTAATGCAAGAGAGAGACTGAAGTGCACTTGTGACCTGTGTCAAGGAAGAACTGTGAAGGGTCTGAAATTCTGCTTACATACAAGCTACAAATTAGCCCTGCAGTAGTTTGGTGCAAGCTAGCCTAAGAGACAAAACTCTTGTGTGAGAGACAGGGGCCTTTGGTGTTTAAACCCCACTAAAATTATTAGCCTTCTTATAACGTTCAGAGAGCTCTCTGCTGGGACATGGGGCATCCAGAGCTTTCCAGTGCCTGCACACAGGCAATTTCTGTTTGTTGTTGAATTTGGGGTGTTTCGTAACCCTAGTTCCTAATGTGTGACACACCTAGATCTTTGATCTTATCCAAGCCAGTATGATTCCTTTTGGCATTAAAATGCTGTGCCTTGCTTGTTACATGAATCTCTGTGAGAATTTTGTTCATCTTTAGACTTTGAAACACTGCACACAGTTGGCACATGCCCAGAGCACCCTTCTAAGCTAGGATGTAGGAGAAAGCACCTGCTGCTTTTTCCTCTTTAACACTGCTTCTTGTGCAACTTACACACCAGTCTTGCACACGCCTCCTTTCTGTCACCAGCAGGCTGCATGGTGATGGCAGCGTAGCCCAGATCATACTCAAAAGGTGCTGCGCCAGGGTACTAAGAGCGGGAAGCACGAACATGGGGATAAAGTGGTTCCTATCTGCAAAGCCCCTTTTCTGTTGTACTTCCCATTCCATAGCACAAAGGAAAGGCTGCTAGAACTGTGAATTTTGTGCAAGTACACACAGGCACAATTCGTGGCAGATGGATCTGATAGAAATGCTAGGAGAACATACATTCTGAGACTCAGTAATTACTATCACCTTTAATTAGGCAGGACTGAAGAAAACCAGAAATGTAACAGAGACGCATAGCTATAGAGTTTCTGTTACCACAATTAAGTAGGTGTTAAATTGTCGCTGCTATCTAAAAATAGCCAATATCAAGATAAGCTAGCATATTGTTACTAAAAACTTCATTACATAGAATGTTTATACAGTATAATGAGTAATTGTATAAACATCCTTTGCAAATACAAGGATATAGATAATAGACTGTATTTTAGATCAGTGATTTTCAAACCATTAGCTGCAGCCCGTCTCATGATGAAATCAGTGTATCCCAGCCAACATTACTAAACATGTCACCATTAGGGTAAGTCTTGCTTCAAGGAACGTTAATTCTACACATAAAGCTGTGTTACTGGGTCATAATATAAAATGCCCATCTACTGTGGGCCATGGTTCAAACATTTGAAAGCCACTTTTAAAAAAATAAAAGGACTATGATAGTTTTGAATCAATAACTTATCTCTTTTGAAGAAATCATAGTGCTGCTTTTTAGAGTTTCTGACTTTGTGAACTGTTTGCTTTACAGATGTGAAGAAAACAAGTCTCGGAGCAAGGATGATTATCAAGCTGCAGTCAAAAGATTAATTTTGGCTGCTCGCCTATCGGACCCAAAGCTTTTCATTAAGCACATGACCGTCAATGTTAACAAGGAACAGGTTTACAGTTTGGAACACTGTTCTGCCCTGAAGTGGCTGAAAGAGAATATGAAATGGGCCGGAAAGGTTTGGCTTTTCAGTAACCGTTAATAAAGGCATTTCTTGGGTTTTTTTTTAAGTTAGTTAATAAAGGTGTTTCTTGTTTTTAAGGTCAAGTAATCATTGTTGACAATAAAAGGCAATAAAAATAAAGGTTGTTTTCACTGTATTGAGTTTTTATACTTCATGTTTTCAGGCAACAAAGATTCTTACTGGTATATGTAACTCATACTAGTTTTATTTACACTGAAAATGATTTTTTAAATTATGACTTCACTTTGGGAGAATCTAAATACTGTATGGTAAACCCCTTTTTATTCTGAAATCTGAACAATGAAAACAGAAACTGAACACTGCAGCATTTTGTAAGGAAAAATAATAGAACTTTTTGGAGGGGAACCTTTAGGAACATCAGATGGGTTTAGTGTGTATTCAGTTAAATCTCAAAGGCTACTGTGCATCTATAATCAAAAACAGTAAAGTAATACTGAGATGACTGGAGCACTGAAATTCCAGACTACCCTCTGATCTACACCAAAAAAATTTACTTCACAGTTTTCCTTTAGTATAGCTGAGATGCTCTGAATTTTTGCAGATTTGTGATTTATGATACATGTGACTAAAAATATTTAAAATACCACTAAATATCCAAACAAGGATTGTATGGAGATCTCATAGCTTTGTTGGACAACTGGTCACCACTTATATACAGGCTTGGAGAATTCGAGTCATATGCTGAAATGAACCCATAATTTAGGACATTTTGGTATTTCCTTTTAAATGCATTTAGTTTTGGCATTTTCGAGTCTTCTGTCTCTTCACCTCGACTCCCCTTTCTGAAGAAGCCCTCTAGTGATATGTTTTTTGGATAGGATTGGCTTGTGGGCTTACCAAAATGTGATCAGGACAAGTATGCATTGTGGGAAAGAGATGTGGAAGTGGTAAATGAGTGGGCCACGCTTGAGCTAAAGTGTCAGATTCCACCTAAAAGCCGGCCACCAGACGCAGCTGATGTACATCAACTCCCTTGCCACAAAAGCTCCTCACCAAAGACAGCTTGTCACTTGCACTTACTGATCTGAGTCTGCAAGCAGTTGGCTTCTCTGCTGATGCAGTGGCTTTGCAGCTGCTTCAAAGTGCTCCCAGAACAGCCTCAGCTCACCTGAGGGCACCAAGCATCCTGTTCTCAGGAGCTCACAGCCTGGATCTGTGGTGTGGGTGTTGCTTGCCTCTGAGAATTTAACCCCTGACTGATTGGGCAGAAGATGGTAATACCATGGGTGGGGAGCAGCTGCGGGGACAGATGAAGTTTTGCTTGCCTCCGGACAGCTTTTGCTGGGTTCCTAACGGACCACGGACTTGCACCCTTCTGTGACTTGCCCCCCCCCACCTCCCCTTAAATCGTAAGATCATTTAATTAAAGTCTGAATAAGGCAATAAAACAAGCGCTATGGCTGGGATTGGGTTTATAGTAAGGTTAGCATCCTTGGGATGAGTCTACAATCCGTCCCACAAGAGAAGGAAAATTAAATCGGCTTTGGGGCGAGTTGCGGGCTGTCTGGCCAGTAAGGCACGGGTAGCGAGGACCCAGGAGGCCGGACCCGCGCGGAGGCGGCGAAGGCCAAAGACACAGAGGCGCTGTCGCCGTGCGAGGAAGACGCAGGGCAGGGGGATTTTCAAGGCGCAGGCGGACGGGCGGACACCTGGGGCCCGGCGAAGTTGCGAGGCTGGTTCAGGAAAAACGGGCGTCCTGCCTACGCGTGACGCCGGCGCAGAGGGAGGAAGGTGGAAATCCGTCCCTGATCTTCCCAGTTTCTGCAGGATACCACAGCTACGGGAGCGAAACAAAACTAAGGAGCCGATGCCGACGGCACAGAACGCTTCACATTTAAAACTGGCCAGGAATGAGGCGGCCGCGCTTAGGAGGACGTGAGCCGCCGTCGTCTGCACCCCTCGCCAGAATACTCCAGGCTCAGTGGGCCGTTGAAGCCAGAAGACCGCTGGTTTCCCCGAGCGGTCGGGGGGGTGGGGTGGGCGGGGCGGTCTGCGCATGCGTTCGCGCAGCGCGTGCTCAGTCGCTCATCCCGGGGCAATTGCCTCCTCTCGGCCACTGACAGGTAGGGGGCGGTCCCTTGTGCGGATGTCCGCTCGGAGGGGCACGGCGGAGTGCGGGCCTTCGCCACTGGCTGCGCGCTGGCTCTTTGGGCGGGGAACCGACGCATTTCAGCAATGAGAGTATGGCGTGCGCCCACTCCCTCTGGCCCGGGGCGCCGACGTGCTGGCCGGCGGGTTTGGGGGCGGGGCTTGAGGCCGGAGGCGGGCCCTGCGGCTGCTTGCGCGTGCGCCCTTGCACGGCCGGGCAGAAGGAGCGAGCGTCTTCACTCCGGGTCAGAACTCCCACGGATCCGGGCGAGGGCCGTGAGGCGAGGGCGGACGGGCTGACACCTGGGGTCGGCGGCTCGGGGCGCACGCGGGGGTGTGGGGGTCAGGCGTAGACCTTCCCGGCCCGTGGCTGGCGGGAGGCGCGGAGGGGTTCGGTCTGGCGGGGGGATCTCGGGAAGGCGGACCGCAGCCTGGATTTACGCCAAGAGGATGGCGGCGCGCGGACACGGAGCGAGGCCTGCGCGGGGCGGGCGCGGCGGCGACTGTCTCTGAGGGACCCGAAATGCGTCCTTACGCGTGTTGCCCCAGAATTGGGATTTCGCATCGATTTAGCCGCCTGTCCACCAAATTTGGTTTGCAGCTGCGCCGAGGGTGTACTGCCTCACGTGCTACAGAATTTAGGTGAAAATTAGGAATTTTGTTTCCAGAAAAGAGAATCCGGAGATGCTGGGAAGCGCGTTCTTTGGGCCCTTCCCTACCCCCGCGGGGCGGTGGTCCCGGGCCAGCCCTCGTCCCTGTGTGCCTGGGTTCCCGTATTCCTTGATAGTTCCCGGCTTGGATATCTCCATTTCTCTCTCCTTCTCCTTTCCTGGATTCTGTGTTTTTTGAGTCCTGGAATTGCGTTCACGGTTTTTCGTTCCAAGTGCTGTCAGTAGGACCTGGTACTTCGTGTCCGGGAGGCCCCTGAAGTCCCCTTGAGGGACAGGTGACCCGCCGTCACCTGCCCACTGGTGAGCTGCCAATAATTATTTATATACTCGATCCTATTTAAAAAGCGGTCAAAGCCGGGCATAGTGGCTCATGCCTCTAATCCCAGCACTCGGGAGGCTGAGACAGGAGGATCGTTGAGAGTTCAGAGGCCAGCATAGGCTACAAAATGAGCTCAAGGCCAGCCTGAACTGCATAGCGAGACCCTGTCTCAAAAAGACGAAAGAAAAAAAAGCAATGTTTGTTTGTGGCAGGCCTGCACGCCTTTCGCAGTGGAAGGCTGAAGGGCGCAGAGGGGAACCGCTCTGGTGGGATTTCCAGAAGCCGCGACCTCGATCCTTCTTGGGTGTGGATGCCCTAGGCGTTAGGAGCTTTCTGCCGCCAGCCGTCGCTGTGCAGCACTGTTCTATCTGCTGACAGTGATGGGGTTTTCTGTGTGAGAGTCCTCCTGTAAGAGAACATCAGAGCTGATCTTTTGAGGGCTTCTTAGCAGGCGTACTTTCGGACTAGATTAAAACTATCTGGTTATCAGATTTAAGATTTCATTTTCCCAGGACCTGCGTATTTCTTTTTGAAGTAATAAAATTGCCTTCTCGGTCTTGCAAAGCCGAGGACTAAACCCAGAACTGCGCCACATGCAAAAGCGGACAGCTGGCCTCAGGATTTAGCTTAGGGGCATAAGCACTTGCCTGGTAGGTGAAAGGTCATGAGTTTGATCCTGGGGAGGGGGGGGGGAGCAGGCTATGGTAGTGGGCCCAGACATCCTCTCCACCCGGAGTTTCATTTTTTTAAATCTAAAAATTAAATTTAAAAGTAGGTAAACCAAGCCGAGTGTCATGGCGCATATCTGTATCCCAGCCCTCCTGGGAAGCTAAAGCAGGAGGGTAGCCAGAAGTTTGAGGCCAGCCTGAACTACCTGGGACTGTGTCGCACAAAGCCCAAAAAAAGGGAAAAACGTAGAGGCAGCAAGAAACTAGCGCAAGAAACAGTTTTAAATCTGCATTTGATTTTTAGCACTTGACTGTATCTAAGTTTATATTTAACAGGTATTTTTAAAGAGTCTAACATTAGAAGTTTCCTAACAGACACCCCAGAATTCTGTGTCCCTAAAGTAGTGGTTGTCAGACTTGAATGAGTTGAAGAGCCCCAACCCAGAGCGCTGGGCCCCACCGGCTGATTTAAGAATCTTCCTAAAGGTTTTTTCTTTTTTTCTATGATTAGCTCTTTTCTCTTTTCCAAAACTGCAGCCTGATCAGATCACAGCTTTCACTCTGTCCTCAGAGCATAACTGCAAGTGGGTACTCAGTTTCCATGGACTGTTTTGTTTTTTTGGTCCTGGAGATTGAACTCATGACCTCAAGCTTGCCAGGCAGGTACTTATGCCACTGAGCTAAATCCCCACCTCTTGGTCTCTTAAACAGGGCCAGCAAATACACTTTTAATTTTTCCAGTGATTTTTATAGGAAGTGATTATCTCAGAATAATTTGGTTTTGTCGATAGCAAATAAAAATCTCAGAAGTCTTTAGGCATTTTCCTATAAATTAGTCAATCCCTGTTTCACCAAAATTAGTTTTTTTAAATTTAGTAGTAGCCATGTTAGCTCAATGTGTTACGGTTTTTTTGTTTTGTTTTGTTTTTGAGAAAGGGTCTCACTACGTAGTTTAGACTGACCTTGAACTCTATGGGGCCTACGTTGACCTCGGATTTGTCATGATCCTCCTGCCTCAGGTTCCCAAGTGCTAGGGTTACAGGCATGTATCACCACACCCTGATTTAGGGATCTCTAGCTACATCCAGATTCCCAGGCTGTTTGCTGCCATGGAAAATGTAACCCTTCAAGCCCCTAGACATTTGCTTCTTAAACCCAAGAAAGCAACTACAGGATTGGTTTGTTTTCCTTAGGGTCTTATCATTAAGGCTTTTTTAATTGTAGAAAGTTCACTGCTGATCATTTCAAATCATTAACATGCTGAGAAAAAGTGCACGAGAATGTGCACCTTCCCCCAAGGCTTGCTTGCCTGTGAGCTGGAAAACATTGAAGAAACGTGCGGTACACAGACTGCTATGAAACACTGTGTTGCCCAGAGGATGGGGAAACAGACTCAGCACCTTCGCCTGCCTGTGCTCAGAGGAGGTGTGGGAGGCAAGATGGGAACAAAGGTCCTTTCCACCTCCATCCCACTCCTACTCCTAGCTATCACGCATCCTTTCCATGTTGCATCTGCTTCTGTGATCTCTGCCTTACATTGGCTTACGTCAGCCCAGTCAAGTAGAAAGGAATGTGAGCTTCAAGTATTTTAGTTTTCTAATAGTAAATTACAGAACACGGTTAAGACTTGGTTGTGGGGCTGGGGATTTAGCTCAGCGGCATAAGTGCCTGCCTTGCAAGCAGGCAGTTGTGAGTTCGATCCCTGGTACCAGTAAAAATGAAAAAGACAAAGAAAAAGACTTGGTTGTGTTTTACATGGGAGAATGGGTGGGTGTTACCTTGAACTGGACTCAGGACCTTGAACATGCTAAGTAAGTGAGCTACACCTCCAGCTGTATTGTAAAAAAGTAAAAGCATGAGGTAGTGTATCCCTCAGTCCCAGCTACTCAAGAGGCTGAAGTAGGAGGATCTTGAGTTCAAGAGTGGCCTTGCATTATAATAAACAGGTGAAATTAAGCTTAATCATCTCAGCTGTAGCAATGTAAGATTAAGAGCTACTTTGTGTTCCTTGTATTGGGGCTTCTAAATCCTTTAGGTAGTTGACCCCATCTCAAGCACTGTACTCCATTGCCCCCAGTGGCTGGTTCCCTTTTAGACCACCCAGGCCCTCATTCTCATTCTGTTACTCTTCTGAAGTAGAAAATCACTCACAGGAAAAGCAGGTAGAGCCAGGCGTGGTTGTCACCCTGTCACCCCAGCAAGCTGAAGGCAAAAGCAGGAGATATAAGTCCAGCTTTGGCATTTTAGAAACTTAGCAAAACCCTGTCTCAAAAGTAAAAAAAACAAATTTTTTTAAGTTTTGGGGAATGTAGCTTAGTGCAAAGGCCTTAGGTTCAATGCCCAGTACACATGTGTACACACACACAGGCAGGTAGGAAATACCTTCTGGTGTAGTATTTGTACACCATGAAAGACTGCTTTCCCATCATGTGGGGAAATCTTGAGCCATTTGTAGGAAAATGGATGCACCTTGAGACCATCGTGTTAAATAAATCAGACATAAGCTTAACTATTGCATGATTTCTCTTACATAAGAAACCCAGGCTGTAAATACAGAACAAAATAAAAAATAATGGGAAACAGAGCTCTTACTCAGATAGGAGGGGGCTCAAGTGATGGAGGGAAAGTGAGGCAGAGACCTGGATGAAAAATCTCAGTGTGTCCTGCACATGTGCCACCGCCCACTGGGAATGTGATTGTCCAGCACTGCAAACATGGACCAGTAGACACTGAAAGAAAATAACTTTTCAACCTCTAATACCCTATTGCTAAAAGTTTTCTAAATTTGGAAATCACAGTTCAATGGTTTACTATCACTGACTTTGAAAATACAAACATGAGGATTTGTTGCCACATTTCCAAGCATTAACACCCGCGAAGGACCGTGGTTCATGTGTCTCGGTGCCAAGTGCCTGAACACCAGTGATAGTTGCCAGACCATCTCATTGGGTGGCTTTTTGTTATCAGTGAAAAGTCTGGTAAAAAGGATCATGTCCCTTGGTACCACCAGTGGTTCAGGCCGCCCGGCTGGATCTTCTGTAAATCCATCATCCAACCCCAGAGCTGCACTCACGCATGATCCATCCTTCTCCCCAAAGCCCTGCCTATGGGCACATGAGACTTTGGGGAGACACCTAGATATGAGCCATAACAATACCCTGTGATTGCAAAAGAAATAGCAAATGAACTTATTTTTCTGGATATATAAAGACCAGTGCTCTGCAGAATTGTAAATTTGGCTTTATTTTTAATAGAAATGATTATACACCATGCTGTATTATGCTGTTGTATGCATGTTTTATGTTCCAGATTGAGCATCATTAAGGAACCTGAGGATGTAGCTCCATAGTGTAGCACTGACTTAGCACCCGGGGAGAGAGAAAAGGAAGGGTGGGTCTGTGACTAGGATACTGGGGTGGGGGGGGGGGCAAACATCAGGGTGTCTGCAGGTTTGCTGTCCAGTGACAGCCAGGCAGTCTTCTTGCCCTCAACTGAGCTCATTCAGTAGCATCTAGGCAGCTAGATGGCCTGAATTTTCTTAGTCAAATGAAAACAGGAGGGGTTGGGGCTCTGACTCAGTGGTGGAACACTTGCCTAGGACATGCAGGTTGGAAGCACTGCAAAAATGAATGAGTAGATTGTATGCCAAAAAACCTTTGGCTTTTTTCAAGACTATATTTCATGTGTTCTTTGTAAATAAACTAGGGACTAAGAAAAAAAAAAGTTAAAGGCCTTAATACCCTGCCACCAACTGACAGCCATCGCTGACCAGTTGGCAGAGACTACTTTACTTGAATGTCTTGCTAAAGGTCTAATGCAGAAGAACTCATTCATTCATATCTGTTTCTCTTTTTACCTGTTTGACTCTTTAAAGTTAAAACTTTTATATATATATATATATTTTTTTTTTTTAACTGAGAATCAAACACAACCTTGTGCTGTGCCACTGAGCTGTATCCCCAGCCCAAAACTGATTTTTTACAGTAAATTTAGGTTCACCACTCAATTAAACAGAAAATAGAGTGTCCACGTGCCCTCACAGTCTGCGCCCCACACCACTTGGTGCAGGGTGCCTGTCAGTTACTCCACACAGTCCTGTCATTGTCACCTAGGGTCTGCCCTAAAGAGATCACCTTTGGTGGTGTGCAGGACGAGTTTCCACCACTGTGGTTTCATGAGCAGAGTTCTGCTGCCCCAAACCCCTGGACTGCGACCGTTCATTTTCCCTGCGCGGCCCTGGGCAGCCACCAGTCCTTATCCTGTCTTTTCGCAAATGTCTGTAATTGGAATCCTGTCGTCTGTGGCCTCTTCAGATTGGCTTTTTTTCTTTTTAGTCATATCCAGTTAGGTTTCCTCTGTGTGAGTTTTGAATGAAGCTTCTGTAAGTCCGGGTGTGCAGGTTCTGGTGTGGACCTGCACTGGCAGTTCTTTGGGGAAATACAGAGGGCTGCTCTTGCTGGAAGACGAGATGAGCATGCACTTGTTTTGTCAGAAGCTACCCTGCTGTCACGCTTGGCGCCCTCACCCACAGTAAGGAAAGCTCCTTTACCCACACCCAAGGCACCGCTCAGTGGTTTTGGGTTTGGGTCGGGGTCATTCTGTCAGCTGTGGGTATTACCTCATTGTCTTGATTGCACTGTCTTGATTGCCGTGGATGCTCAGCATCTTTTCATATGGTTGTGTGCCACCTGTGGTGTCTTCTTGGTGGGTGCTGTTCAGGCCTTTGTCCATTTTTCAACTGGATTATCTTGTTGAGTAGAAGAGTTTATTGTCTGTGATGGATAACTGTCAATTAGCAGATGTGCGTTTTTCTCCAAGTGAATGGCTTTTCTTCCATCACATCTTTCACAGAGCATAAGTTTTAAAACTTAATGTGCAGTGTATTATTTCTTTCATGAATGATGCATTTGGTAATTTTTTTTTCTTTTGGACCAGGGATCAAACTCACGACCTTGCGCTTGCTCAGCAGGTACTTAATGCCACTGAGCTAAACCCCCAGCCTGGTACCCTATCTAAAAAGTCATCTGCATGCCCAAGGTCATCTAGATTTTTTTCCAATTATCTTTCTTTCTTTTGGCAGTACCACACTGTCTTGCTTACTATAGCTTTGGAGTAAATCTTGGCTCAAATAGTATCAGCCTTCTCACTCTTCTTCACTATTCAGTTGGCTACTCTGGATCTCTTGCCTCTCAATAAACTTTAGAATCTATTTGTCAGTATCGACAGAACTACTCAGATATTGTATTGGACCAAATTTCCAACACACAGCCAAGAAGGAGAGGTTTATTTGCCTAACAGTTTTGGGAAATTCAGTCCATGTTTGGCTGGCAGAAACATCATAGCAGAAGGGCCTGGCAGAGCACAGCCACTTAAGCTTTATGGTGCCTAGAAGGCAGAGCAGGGGAACAGCACCAGAGAACTGAGAGGATGGATACACCACCCAGGGTTCCCCCTCTGTGATGTACAACCATTCAAGTTGCAGTGCAGTGTAGCTGACTCAATCTGAGAAGGATTGTATTGGCTCTGCAGACCAAGTTGCGAAAGACAGACATCTTGACAGCATTGACTCTTGTCCAGGAATATGAGATACCTGTAACCGCTTAATTAGTTCTTCTGTTTCTTTTACCAAAGTTCTGTGGTTTTCCTCATCTAGATTTTGTACATGCCTTGTTTGGTTAATACCTAAGTATTTCATTTGGGGAGGTGGTACTGTAAAGGGTAATGTGTTTTTAATTTCAGATTGCACTTGCTCATTTGTGGTATCTGCTTTCCTTTTTAAGCAGTTAATGAATGCCTGGAAGTTGGCTTCCATACACATTCAAAAATGTTCCGCCACCTGAGACCTTTGAGGAGGTAAGCTTCGCGCATTGGTTTTTCACTGCAGGTCAGAACAAAATACTGTGTACTTTGTAAAGAAAGCTCATCATTTGCAGTGAAGCCAGTTAGTATTTTAATGTGGGTTGTGGACGAGAAACGTTACTATTGCTTAATATTTCTCATTGCGTTAGAGGAATGTGGAGCCACTGTTTCTATAATGTAAGAGATTTCCAAAGACTGCAGTTTCTATTTTGCTCCTCCAGTGTTTTCCCTGCAGAATAATTTTAACTTGACTGTCACTTTCTCGTTGAGATTGTGTTCATTGAAAATAACCAGCCACATCTCTTTACAAGGTTCTGTCCCGAGCAGATCCGCCCCCATGGGTTCCACTACTCTCGGGCTTTGTCAGGAGCAGAGGCTGCCACTGCCCTAAGGCCTTTCTACTTCGCCGTCCACCCAGACTTCTTTGGACAGCACCCCAGAGAAAGGGTGAGCTTCAGCTTGTTAGTTTATTTCCTTTACATCAAGTGTGATGCAGAGTCCTTTAAGTTTGCGTTATCCTGTCATGGCCATGCAACTCGTGCTTTGAACCGATGTGAAATACAGAAAACACTGAGTTTCAGATTAGTAAATTTACAAATTAGTGAAAATTCAAAATACTAGTAATGGATAATATAATTTTTTTAATGAAAGTTGTTATAATTTATGTGGGCACTAAAATTGTCATGTAAACTCAAGAGGACTAGAAATCATGTTTTCATTTATGTTTTTACATTTTCCCTTTTTGTAATGCTGGGGCCTGAACCCAGTGTCTCACCACTGAGCTGAATCCCCAGCCCCCAGCATAGCCTTCTCTCTCCTATGTGCTGTGAAAGGTTAACCAGTGAGTGAGGGTTGCTTAACCCTGCACATTCCAGCTAGGCCCATGACTGGCCCTTGGAGATCAGAATGTCCTGCCTGCTGAGAATGAACTAGGGGGGGGGGGGGGGCGGCTGTACTGCATGCCTGTAATTCCAACACTTGGGAGGCTGAGGCAGGGGAATCACTGAGTTCAAGGCCACCCTGAACTGCATAGACAAACCGTGTGTCAAAAACTTTCCCCCTAAAAAGAACTATAATGGGAAGTGGACCAACAGGAAAAGAGAAAAAGGGGCCGTAAAAAACAGTGAAGATGTGCTATGTACATATACTAGCTCCCCACAGTGAGTGTACTCCTCCCTGCAAACCTGGGCTGATAAAAATGTTTTGAAAGTATCAGCTGTAAAGTCCCAGCATTTTTAACTTCTAAATGATTTAGTACCCTCAATATCACTTAAAAGGTTAACTTTTTAACATTAACTTTTAACATTACTTTGATTTTCTTGCTCTTGTTTGTGTATAAATACTATTTATATTTTTCCAGGAAGTCAATGAAAATTCTCTTAAGAGACTGAGTGTATACTTAGAAAACCTCCAGAAACCAGGCTTCAAATCTTTGAAACCAACTCAGCTTACATTTTATGTGAGAGAAACGGACCAGACCTCCTCAGATGGCCAGGAGCCCTTTAGCTCCTCCGGTAGGTGGTTTGGTGTTTGTAGTCTTCCCCAACAAACTCACTCACATGTGCCCTGCATTTTGACATTGCCAGAAGACTTCTGAAGCTTGACTGCTGGAAGACATTGTCATTTAATTGAATTAGATTTTGTTCCTAGCCGCATATCTTTGAGCAAACCACTCTTGGTGCACTTTAAACTCTATTACCTATGAAAGTGAAGCTCTTGTCTGCTTCTCATTTCAGTGTTAAGCATTTGGCTTTTGTGTGACAGTTTACGCTTTCATGTTCGCTTTGGCAGCACGAATGCCATAACGATTTATACTTCTAAATATTGCAGCTTGCATTGTCTGTTTCAGTCTTCACAATTTCCAGTATAAGGGCTGGGGATTTAGCTCAGCAGTGTAAATGCCTGCCTAGCAAGCACAAGGTCATGAGTTCAATGCTTGGTACAAAAAAACCCCACAAGGTCCAGTATAATTTAGTGAGACTCAGCAAGTCTCCAAGAGCCTGGAAACAGAAGATTAGTTAGATTTGAGAAAAGCCATTTGATGGGAGTCTCAGGTTCAAGACAGTCTTCTGACTCACTGCTTTCTTTTCGGTGCCTTTTATCTCTTCCGTCACAGCCAGTAATGCTTGCAGTTAGAAACAGGGTATACTAGGTGAGCCTGACGAGTCTGTCCTTTCTCTGAGTGAGTATCCTCTTGATGATCTGTGAGGAAATAACTGTATTTTACAGCAAGTGTTCACTAACAGCTTTCTGTGAGTTGAGACTGAAACAGCTAGGTACTCTGTCATTTTGTTTTAAACACACTATTGCACAACTCAGAATTTGATAGCCTTTTGAGCCATGGGATCTACTTCTAGCTCTGCCAGTGACAAGCTGTGTAACCTTAACCTCAGGAGCTTCGTTTGCTAAGAGAAAACCAAAGGTCCCTTCTCTGCCCACACCTGCCAGGGCCGCTGGCCAGGGCTCCATGTCAGCAAGGACAGTGTCCACCCAGCTCTGGGGCCGCTGCACAATACCTTCCTCCTGTTGGTGGTCGTTCTCTGATAGAATATGGACGATCACAAGACACAAACTCCTTTTGACAGTTTCTCCATCTCCCCTAATTTAGAATTTTATTAAAAATAGCTCCTCGGGCTGGGGATTTAGCTCAGCGGTATAAGCACCTGCCTTGCAAGCAGGCAGTCGTGAGTTCGATCCCCGGTACCGATTTAAAAATAAAAATAGCTCCTCTTCTTTGTTATTTAGACAAAAAGTCAACTCATGGCCCTCTTGTAAAACAGCAGCTGTACTAAAGAACTGTGTAAATAATAAGTAGTAACTTTGTCATTCTGTGACACAATTTTGTTTGAAAGTGTCAGTAATCGTTTTTGAGTCATTACGAATGTGCCACTTAGCCCTGAGAACCTCGTGAGACATCATTTTGCTGGTGTCAAACCAGATGTTCACAAGTGGTGTTTAGTAGATAAACATACCTGTTTTTCAGCATCAAGGTTTGGCTAGAGATTGAAGAAATGCCATAGTGATAATGTTCTGCTTAGGTTTCATGATTTCTCCCAGAGGACAGATCAAATTTATAGAAGCAGATTATATCTTTACAGTTTTTAAAATAAAACCAGTCTGCACTTGTTTTTATGTATTTAGGAAAGTCAAGCTCATTTCTGGACCTATGATTACTATCTGAATACTGCCTCAGCTTAAATATTAAATGTAAAGGTAGCTACAGAGGAAGCTGGGTTTGCAAAGCAGGGAGAGCTGGCACTAGCACTATTCATCAGCCCAGCTGTCGGTTCACATTTCACAGAGTCCTAAAGGATGCTGTTGCAGGTTTATTTCTTTAACATTTTAGTCTAATTATAAAATTTTCTTTAGATTTTGTATCTAGAACACAAAACATTTTCACTGATAATTAAGATATATCAGGGGTTTTTGTTTGGTTTTTTGGGTTATTTTCTTGGTAGCAGGACTTTGAACTCAGGACCTCATGCTTGCCAGACAAGCTGTATGCTGCTGAGCTCCATCTCTGGCCCTCCTTGATAACTGACATGGTAGTAAGATAACATGTTCACCAGAGCTCTTCATCACTTATACTGCATGAGCTGTATGCATTATTAATGCATTAAAATTCATAAAAAGCCTAATAATTTCTTTAGCTCCACATTTTTTTGTGGCCCATGAGAAAAGCTTTATGGTTAGAAAAAATTTAAAAACAAGCTAAGATTTAGCTTTCTGTAAACTAATACCAAATCACACAGCTGTAGCAGGCTCTGAGTAAATTAGATATTCTGTGTTTTCAGTTAGTGGTTAACTTGTTAAACTGCAAAAATAGTTTATAGAAAAAATTGTTAGAAATGGGAGAAAACATGGCATATACAATAGTATAAAGAAGTCTTACAAACCAAAAAGAAAACAATGACTCAACATTATAAAAATGGCAAAGACTATGAATGGACATTTCAGGAGATTGTGTAACCAATGGAAATGTTTGTTTCAGTATTCACATGCAAGCTGAAATAAATAGATACTATATTTTGCCCATACAATTTTTTCATTTTTACTAATAATGACCCCATATAGTGAGATGGCGCCTTCACACTTTAAGTGTACAAGATTTCTAGAGTGCACTCTGACACTGCAAATTTCCTCTTCTAGAAATGGGGGGAACCAGTAAAGGACACATGCATTCTGATTCAGGTAGTCCTCAGTGTACAGCTGCTTGTTTATTGGATTAAATAATTAGTGAAGCAACCGGGCAAGCATGGTGGTGCACGCCTGTAGGCCCAACACTCCAGAGGCTGGGGCAGGGGAATTGTCACAAGTTTGAGGCCAGCCTGGGGTACCTAAACAGACCTGTCTAAAATAATAACAATAATAATAATAATAATAATAATGAACTGATAAGAGAAAAACTGATATATACTCCATGCTTAGCAATGTTAAGGATGTATTCTTTATTCCCAGCCTCTGAGACACCAGTCTGGGTTCCTACTTCACTGATAGAACAATTCTCCTGCTGTAGTTCTCACTTTTCCATCAAATGGTTCAAGTAAAAACCTTTCTTAACCTGTATATTCTGGGTTCTGTGAGTTTATCTGGCAAACAGTATGTGTCTGAGGATGATGTAAAGTGCAGTATTACCAGGGGTTTAGCTCAGCGGCCTAAGTGCCTACCTGGCAAGCTCGAAGTCATGAGTTCGATCCCCAGCACCCAAAAAAAAAAAAAAAAAGAGTGTGCACAAAGGCAAGAAAACGCATTTCAAGCTTTGCAGTGAAGAGCCAAGAACAATGTCTGTGTCCACCACTACCAGAAGTGTGCGTTATGCCACATTCTTTACCTGGACTGTTAAACAGCTGCTAAAGAGAATGAGGCTGATTTGTACAAGTAGCAGTTGGGAAGGGAGGATCACCAACATTGTAATGAAAGTGAGTCCAAAATATATTATCCAGAGTGATGCCATTTATTTAGTGAAGAAGGAGCAGCTTTCTTCAGGCGCAGTGATGCATGCCCATAATCCCAGCACTCGGGAAACTGAGACAAGAGGCTCACTACATAGTGAGTTCAAGACCAGCCTGGCCTACATAGCAAGACCCTGTCTCAGAAAAAAGTAAGGGGGCATAGTTCCAACTGAATGATGGGGAGTGAGTGTAAATATATCCACGTGTGCAATCTAACAACACAGAAGCACAGAGGAAAGGCTCAGGCTAGCACTGTCCTACAATCCTTCCCATGCGGGAAATGGTCCGTGTCTGCACAGCGCCCCACAGCAAGCACAAGCACCTGATGGGCATCATGCACTGGAGAACTTTTAATTTTAATCTAATCTAATTTTCAGCAGCCACCAAATGTGGCCAGAAACTATCATATTAATTCAGGTTTGCAAGAATAGCTATCCAGAGGCTGGGTGCCGTGGTACACACTTGTAATCCCAGCACTCAGGAGGCTGAGGCAGGAGGATCACTGAGAGTTCAAGGCCAGCCTGAACTGCACAGTGAAACCCTGTCTGAAAAAGACAAAAAAAAAGAATAGCAACCTAACTGCGGACAGTGATTTTATCCAGGAGAGGTGCAGAGACTACACGCCTGTCATCCTGATTTCTGCTTCAGCATGTGTGTGTGTATTTGTAATTAGTATGTAACTTTGTAACAAGCATGTACCTTATACTTGTATCATTTTCAAAACTAATTTAAACATTTTTTGAAAAAGGAAAGAGCCTGTCATAGGGGAGAAAGTGGCTGAATTGGTGTCAGTTCAGACTCAAGACCACACTGTAGGCGTGAGCTTCTTATGTGTGACCAGAGCAGCCACAGTGACCCAGTCACTGGGTGTGGGCTTGGACACTGCCAGCTTGGGTCACATCTCGTCTAACACTGGCTGAAGGAGCAGCGCTTAACCATAGTGAACCAGCAGTTCCAGCTGCTGACCTCCCCAGCTCCAGAACCAGATGGTGAAGCACTGACTTTCAAACCTCAGCTGCTCTGTAACCCCCTCAGGAAGATACTACGTGGCTGGCAGCTCAGTGGGCCAGTAGGAGAGATCCTGGCAACTGGAGAGAGCAGACAGGATGGTTTCTGTGGCCACTGGAACTGGACAGCTGGCCCTGCCATTCTGTGCCTGTCATGGTGCCACATGCTTTCTGTGTGTGCTGGACACTGTCGGTGGACACCTGCTGATAGGAGGGAGCACTGTCCCATCTCCCAGGGGACCCTGTCCATGGGCAACATTGAAAACATTCTGACAGGGGCTGGGGATTTAGCTCAGCAGCATAAGCTTCCTTGTAAGCAGGCAGTCGTGAGTTCAATCCCCGGTACTAATTTTAAAAAAAAAAAAAAACCTAAGAAAACATTCTGACTGCTCTCAGGCAGGAACGGGTTTGCTCACAGGTGCCCAACTAGTTAGAGAAATTCATGAAGTTAAAAAGAGACTCGTAGAGTTTTAGAGCAGAAAAATTGTTTTCCATTTTACATGTGATTTTTCCAGTAGTGTGAATTGTAATCAGTAATGGAATGTTGTAAAAAAATTTTTGACTGGGCTGGGGATATAGCTCAGTGGCATGGTGCCTGCCTGGCAAGCACGAAGTCCTGAGTTCAATTCCTAGTACCAAAAAAAAAAAAAAAAAGATTTTAATTGTATAAATGTTGCATGCAAAACTATTTTAAAGATAAAACAAATAATCATCTGTATTAATTGTTTGGGGGAATTATATTCTCTAGGATTTCGAGCAGTCAAATTTACTTTGCACACCAGAGACCTGCTAAGCACAGTATTGTATATTCTCAACTCCTGCAGTTTATCTGTGGAACATATCCAAAGCTCGAACACTAATGTGCATTCCCAGCCCCTCAGAGAAGCCAAGTGGACCCCTGACAGGCCCATCAAATGGAACAAGTCTTACTACTCTTTCACTGGATTCAAGGACCCTGCCGAAGCCCTTGAGCAAGTCTCAAGAAAGGAAGCCACACTCACGTACGTACAAGTTTGATTTAGCCCAGCTGCCGTTGATCATTGCTGTTTAACACTGAAACCTCATTTTCCAGGCAGGGTAACCCTGTCTGTATCATTCACTAGTAACCGTCAGTAAAAAGATAGCATGTTCCTCGAAGTTACCAGAATACTGATGTGTTTTGATTCATGCAAGAAACTGCATACTAAAGATTGTATTTATGTTTTAAAAATTCTCTTAAGTTACACCAGGACATGAAAAAGGGTTCTGCTGAAACTCAGAATTCTCCCACACACCCTTACTTCCCTACAGGGTGTATATCTGGATTTCTTTGTAGATCAGTTGTCATGTTATCTTGGTTACTTTTCTCTCCTTGCTGAAACAAAATACCCACACCCAAAATGAAGAAAGGAAAGGTTTATGTAGCTGTTTGTGGAGGTTTCAGTCCACAATCAGCTGGCTCCAAGGCAGGGTGGCGTAACACTGGGGCAACATTTCGGCAGCCACCAGAGCTAAAGGGAAAATAAGCCTCTTCTCCCTCCTTTATATTGTACCCAGTGCCCCCACCCAGGGCCAGCTCTGTGCCCTGCTCCTGCACAGATTGAGTTTATTTACAAAAAAGAGCCGGGTTCTGCTGAGTCTGTTAAACTTCTAAACTTCTCAGGTTGACACAGTGTATCAACCATAACCTGTACTCCAGTATGATCTTCCATATACAGAGATTCTAGAGAATGTCATCTTGGATAGATCATGGAAAAGGAGGATGCTTTGATTGAAGGTGCAATGTCCCTCTCTCACAGCACACGCTGTCTGTGACCCCTGCTGACGTCCCCAGAGTGCAGTGAGCCCCGCATGCCTGCTCACATCCTGTGGCTGTGGCTGTGGCTGTGGCGGAGGCGTCCAGAGGCACTCGAGGCTCTGGTGCCACAAAGCAATGAAAGGAATTCTTTGCTCTTGTCCTGGACCCTGAGGGTGAACTGCAGTGCAGACCAATGTCTTTTCCAGCCGGCCTTGGAATGTGGGTGCTAGGGTGGGGGCTCCCGCGTTAAAGAGTTTCCATCTCCCCTTTCCCTGACTCTGCTCAGCAGCTTCACTCACCAGGGTGGACAGCACAGGAGGGGAGGTTGGATTTGGTTCCTGGCCCAGCGGTTTCCATCCTGGCTGCATGGCCCTGGTGTTCCTGGGCACAGCGGATAAGGCATCTGGGAAGTAGAAGACCCACAGGGCGGAGCAGGTTCCACCTCCTGAAGGGGCACCAAGGCCAGACACTCCAGATCCAGGTCATTTCCAGAGAAGCCACTGTCCTCTCAGAGGACCCCCCAAGGCTGCATAGTCTCTCTCCTGATAGCTCCCCTTGCTCTCATACCTACCGAGGACATACCCCAGCATCCACGTCCATGTCTACCTTCCTGCAGCATTGTTGACTCAGAGGGGTGGCTGTCTCCCAGCAAGCCAAGGTCTCATAGGGATTAGATTTCACAGCAGGTGCCTGGGTGCTTCCTATGCTCATCATGCCAACTTTCTCCCAATCAGAGCTAGGAAGCAGAATCTTCATTCTCAGCTCACAGAGTAGTTAACATTTGTTCACAAAGCCTGGGGATTTAGCTTAGTGGCAAAAGCACCTGCCTGGCAAACACATGGTCCTAAGGTCAGTCCCTAGTACCAAAAACACTTGTTCACAAAAATTAGTAAAGTAGGCCAGATGTGACACACGCCTGTAATTCCAGCACTCGGGAGGCAGAGACAGGAGGATCACCATGGGTTTGAAGCCAGCCTGGGCTACATAGTGAGAACTGTCTCAAAAAACCAAAAAAAAAAAAAATTTAAACTTCATGAGTCGGAGTTTTTTGGGGGTTTTTTGTTTTTGTTTGTTTTAGTGAAGCTGAAGATCAAGCCTGGGGCCTCGTGCAGGCCAAGCCAGGGCTCTCTGCTAAGCTGCATCCCCGGCCTGGCCTCTGTATGCTAGACATTTTCTCCTCAATCCAGACATGATGCATCTCTGATAATGTGTTTGTCTTGCTTTCTCTTTTATGAGTTAAGGTAAATTGAATGAACAAGGAAAAGTTGGGAAATTACAGTGCAATGTCCGATATGAATGGTGTAGATAAAGATATTCATCACCTACCTCACAGAGGGGACAGCATGTTTAAGGGCTGTAGGAAGGAATGAATTTCTCAGCCTGGTTCCTAAGCCCAGGTGCCTTGAATGCCTTGCCAAGAAGGCAGGGTGCCTGGGCCTTGTCCTGCTGTGCAGGCCTTCATAGTCTACAGCCCTGCCTCCCATAGGTCCCTGCGGGTGCCTTGAGGTCCTGTGACGGGCAGCTGGGCACAGTCTCAAACCCCAATGGTCTTGTTTGGTGAGCCTGCCCTGCCTGGCCTGGGCACAGCTGCAGCTCTGGGTCGCATGTCACCAGGTCCCCTGTCACCTGTCCTGCAGACCCACCGGCTTCCTCACTCCCTGCAGGAGCTCTTTTCTGCCCTCACCACACACACACACACCCGTTGGAGACATCTTCCTTCACGGTGGGGCCTTTATCTACCATGCGTAGCCAGCACAACAGTTTCAGACACGCAGTCTAAGTGCACAGTGTCTCGGTTGGTTCAAGAATTACTCTGAACATTGCAGGCGCTGTTCTACGTGTTCCAGTCAGCATCTGGCACCCTCGAAGCCTGGTGCAGGCAAGTGTCAGACCAGCCCGTGGGAGGCTCTATGCTGTCCGCGCGTGTTCCCCTTGCATCTTCTCCCTGCTCACCTGAGATTCCTCTGACAGCTGTAACAGCTCTTGCCCCAGCACTGTAGCCTGAGTCCTCTCAGGGTGCTAGGAGCCGGAACAGAGACCATGACACCCTGGCCCTGAGCAGCTGCTGTCTCCCGCGGAGGCCTATCCCCTTTAACCGGTTTTTTTTTTTTCTCTTTTTTTTTTTTTTTTTTTTGTCGGTACCAGGGATCAAAGTCACAACCACACACTTGCAAGGCAGGCGCTTATGCTGCTGAGCTAAATCCCCAGCCCTATCCCCTTTAACCTTAACACCTTATTTATTCTTATGAGACCCGGAGGGCCTGGTCTCAGAAATAAGGGGTAGAGAACTAATGTTTCCGCTATACCCATGCCTGAACAGCTTAGTGACTTGGAGGACTCTGTCTCAAGATGAGAAACAAAAAGGCATTGATGTAGCTCAGTGCAAAGGCCCTGGGTTCAATCCCCAGCACCACACAAAAAAAGCAGTAAACTGAGCACTGGGCAGGCTGGAAGGACTGGAGCATGGCAGAGAGAGGAGAACCATGTGGAAGGACCAGAACGGGAGCTTGGCCAAGTGCACCAGTACACGGGTAGTCAGGTGGGATGGGAGGTACTGAGAGCCCAGCATGCTGAGACCCAAGATCAGGTGCAGGGAGAAGCTGGATTTTACCAGCCTGGAGCCCACAAGGGCCCAGACCTTTCTTCCCTCTCCACACCGCATTTACCGCTCACTGGTCAGGTGGTTTCTGCTCTGCCCTCGAGAGCATGTGACTGACGTAAGTGGAGAGCTGGTGTACCTTTGCGAGTATTGGATAAGCATAGGGGAAGATTTAACTGTTACTTTGTGTTGGCAGGCATGGTGGCACACGCTTGTAGTCCTACATTCAGGAGGCCGAGGAAGGAGGATCACCAAGTTCAAGGCCAGTCTGAATTATGTAAACAGACCCTGTCATTAGAATAAAAACTATTTCTAGACAGCCTGTGACAGGCCATTGACAGATCTGATGCAAATCAGTTTGATTTTGTCTAATGTAAGAAAAGTTGTGTTAACTAGAGTGTGACATGGCCAGCACTGGAGGCCTCCCTCGGTCTCCTGAAGCACAAGGTGTTTCTCAGAGAACAGGCTCGGCAGAAGTTGGTCTGGCAAACACTCAGCTTGGTATTGGAGCTACTCTAAGATAACTCGTGTTTACATTGTGTCAGCATCGCAAAATGTGCATCTGTTTTTTCTTTCCAGATCCTGGTTAGATAACAATGTGAAAATTGCTGGTAAAAAGCTAAAGAACAGTTTGCCTCTTAGAAAGGAACTAGCTCGTCTAAAAGATGAGCTGTCAAACCTATTGCAGCTCTCTGACATCAGGTAATAAGAGAACTGTGCTATGGATCTCGGGGGTGGCCCGTGTCTGCCCAGCAGCACCGCTGAGCTAGTGGGTCTTTTACTTTAACTTCCTGATACCTAAATATTCTTCAGTTGGCCTTTTATGAATACATGCAAAAAACTTACTATTTTTTTAAAATACTGAATAAGGTTTAAACACACTTTTGGCATAATTGCTGTACCTCTTGAAACGTAATACGTTTGTAAGGAAAATACCCTTTTTCATCTGTTATACATAGCATAAAAAGTAATTACGAAGCTGGGCATGGTGACGCATTCCTGTAATCCCAGCACTCAAGAGGCTGAGGCAGGAGGATTATTGTTTGAGGCCAGCCTGGACTGCATAGCAAGGCCCTGTCTCAAAAAGACAAAAACGATAATTACACCCTGATCTGGTACATTGGTGCCAGGCAGGGGAGAGGAAGTGGACCTGTATTCTTGATTGCATCCCATGTAACATACCTTTGCAAAGGTTTGCACGTGCTCAGAGGTGCTGCTCTGCAGCAGCAGTGGAATTAGGTTGTCACAGGCTGGGGGCTCAGGCCGGACTTCCTGTTCCCCAGCCTGGCCCAGGAGCACTCCTCAGGCTTCCAAAGCTGTTTCCTTTCCTACCTGTGCCACTCATACCACTTTTTCTCACATTGAACTCCAGCAACTGTTCGGGTACCACAGTGGCACCATTTTCTTCTCGTAAGATAACGCCCATTTTAGCTGGTGGATAGAGTTCAGCAGCATAAGCGCCTGCCTGGCATATACAAGGTCCTGAGTTCGATTTCCTGATACCAGGGGGGAAAAACATAATTGAAATTTTGAAAGTGGAGCCTCTAGGCCCACGGCATGTGGGCGTGTAAATTTGAGCTTTAGTTGTTTCTCATCATCACACCAACAGCCTTTAAGCCAAGCTTTGGTTCTGGGAATGCTTCTCACCCGTGGCTCACACGTGAGACCTCTTCCGGCACCCCAGGGACAAGTGGTGAGAAGAGGCTTGCTGTGCCGATCTGCGACTGACGAGCCTGTTGCTTGTAGGGGCCTGGACACAGCAGAGCACGCCCCTTCCTGATAGGAAGCAGTGAGCGGGGCAGGGGAGGGCCCACCATCCCCTTTGAGGGCACACAGTGACCAGAAGGGACATGCCCTGGTGGCCAGGCCTTCCCAGGTGTCACACCCTGTCCCAGTTGCAGCTAAGAACCCTCTGACTGGGGACGGTGCCTTCAATGCAAGGAGTATTGAAGATCTGAACTGCGGCAGTGTAGCAGCATAGACTTCTTTAGTTAAAAAGCATAGTACCATTTTTATGAATTGTGAAGTAAACAAGTCTGTGTTTGAAAATAATGTCTGCATTGAAAACAAGTCCGCATGAAAATAATGATGGGGGGAGAGGGGACAGGGTTTGGCTGTGCTGTTCAGGCTGGCTTTGCCCTCACTGTGTAGCCCAGGCTGGCCTCAAACTCACAGTGATCCTCCTGCCTCAGTCTCCTGAGTGCTGGGATTATAGGCCTGTGTCACCATGCCCAGCTAAAATAACTTTTTCTGGTATAAATTGTTATTGGGGGTCGATGGGGAGGGGACCAGGAATTGAACTCAAGGCCTCTTACTTGCCAGGTAGGCACTTACGCCACTGAGCTACCCACCAGCCCTAAATTTTAAAACATCCGTCAAAGTAGGCCAGATTGAGAAAGTAAGAGATGTGTCACTTTACTAGATTGTAGAGAAGTTCCTCAGCTTTACTGTGGGCAGCAGCTGTTCATAGCTGTTGCCTGTGTAAGGGCTTCTCAGTTTTTAGGAATTGCAGAGGGATTCTGAGCCCTAAACCCGTGAGGACTTGGGACACGTGGGGCTTTTCTACTGGAGAGCACCCAGCACTCAGGCAGAGGGCAGCATTGCGACGGTGACACTTTTTAGAATTCTTGCCAGTCTGTATGAAAGACCACTTACTAGACAGTATTTAATAGACTTGTTTTTGAAAAGGCTTAAATTTCAAATAATTGAAACTAAATCTTTTGAAATTATTTTTTGTTTATTTTTGGATTTTCAGGGAAGGGAGTTATTTTGCTTTTTGAGAAAGGACCTTGCTAAACTTATGTGGAGCCCAGTCTGGCCTTGAACTTAAGGCTGCACTCCTGCCTCGGCCTCCATGTGCTGGGATTGCAGGCCAGTGCCTCCACACCCCAGTGAAATTTTTTTTTTACATTTTTTTTTCTTTTTCTCTTTTTATCGGTACCAGGGATCGAACTCATGACCGCCTGCTGTAAGGCAGGTGCTTATGCCGCTGAGCTAAATCCCTAGCCCCCACACCCCACTGAAATTTTATCACTGCTCTTTGACTGTAAAAAGAAAGCTTTTTAAAGTTTTGTCTTACCAAAAAATGATGTCCATCATCATTAGTGCTGGGCTAGGAGAGAACTTAAGTTTTGCTTGTGTTTTGTTGGCACACCTCATTCCCTCATGGGTGTGACTCCCAGTGAGGTCTAAAGTGTCAGAGTCAGGTCTTGGGAAGGCTCGGCACAGCCCTCTAATAAGCAGTTCCATTCAGCTGCCTCTGTACAAATCCGCTGACCTGGAAACATGAGATTCTGTTCAGCTGCACCATGCACCGTTGGCTGGGCTGTCAGCAGGCAGTGGAAGCAACTCTCATACCATCTCTGTCACTGCAGGTGGCAGAGGAGCTGGGGCGTCGCCCACCGCTGCAGCCAGCTGCACAGTCTAGGCCGCCTCGCACAGCAGAACCTGGAAACGCTTCAGAAAGCCAAAGGTAAACTCCTAGCGCTCCCTCACTGCTGTGCACGCTGGCAAATGGAGTCGGAACGCAGCGACTCCATCTCAGTGCACATTCACATCTGTTCCTGCAAGGGAAGCAGAGGCAACTGAGCCTCTGCCCTCGCGCCAGGTGCAGCCCTGCCTTTCCTTAGCATCTTGGTTACTTCTCTCATTGCCCAGGCAGAATAGCTGATCCCAGAGTTCAGGGGAAATGTTCATTCAGCACCCAGGGGGCCGAGGTTTCAGCCCACAGTCAGCTGGCTCCCAGGAGGGTGGCATCGCAGAGGAGAAACAGCCCATGGCAGGCAGGAGGTGTCCAAGCAAGCAAGAGACGAGTCTCTTTCTGTCCCTTGAGCTGCATCGGGCTCCTGAGATTAGGATGGTGTCAAACCAGTAAGTGGCTGACTCAGTATTCGCCCCTGCTTCAGAGCAGCACCCTGATCCCAGCACTGCCCCCAAGTCAGTCACGCACTGGATCCAGCCAACTCTGAGAACTGCAATTCCTTCACGGGCAGAGCTTGAACCTCCTGGGCCATGACCAGGGCTTGTGCTTCGTCCCCAGGATGCACGCTCATCTTCACGGACCGCTCTGGTGTGAGTGCCATGGGCCACGTGATGCTGGGAACCATGGACGTCCACCACCACTGGACCAAAGTAAGGGCACCAAGGCGAAGGTGGATCCACATCCATGCATGCTCCTTGTAGACCCTGGCCCGGGCAGTGTGTATGGAGCTCCGGGTCAGCAGCACTGCAGCCCTGGGCACAGCCAGAAGTCTGGCTCTGCCTCAATCTCGAGGTCGAGTTACATTTGACATTTCATGACTACATGGGACACTGTCCCCAGGGTCCAGATAGTGGGCTCCCACTCCTCATGGTAGGTATCACCCTCGTGCCCCTGCTTCCTGTCCCCACTTCAAGTGACTGGTCTGGCTTTTCACATTGGCACTTCATTTTCTAGAGGTTCACAGAAGTAACTGCAGTGTGTGTGTACTTTTTATCTGGCTTCTTTCATTCATTTTGAGGTTCACTGACATTGTCAGTGTGTATTTAGTTTGCTCCTTTCTGTTGCCTGTAATGTGCCATTTCAGTATACCTGCAGTTTATCCATTCACTGTGCCGGGCTTTTACAGACAAGACTGCTATGAACGTTTGTGCACAAACATGTTTTCCTTCTCTTGAGTAATCACCTGGAGAACTGGCAGATCCTATGGAGGAGTATTTTAATTATTTAAAAAAATGCCAAAAATAGCCATCTGTTTTGGTTTAATTTTTAGTATTTGGTTTTGTTTTACGACAGTGTTACCCTAGCAACCCTCCTCGCTCAGCCTCCTGTGCATCCAGGATGACAGGCCACCATGCCTGAGTTTTAATACAAATTTTTGACTCTGGCCTCCTAGGCAAGCAGGCTCATGGCACCGTTTCATTGTGAGTTTAATTTGCAGCCCTCGTGACAGTGTCTTTTTCTGGTGCAGTGTCTGTTCAAGTCCTATATTTGGTAGAAAATATTTGCAAGCTGCATATCTGATAAACACTTTGTATCCAGAATCTGCAGAGATCTTTTAGCCCTCATCAGTAAAATCACAGTGGCCAGTCCAGCTAGAAAATGGTTCACGACTTAGACATATCATGGCAAGGACGCGCAGATCACAAGCATGCAAAGGATGCTCACCATCACTGCCAAGGAGCATGTGTGGCCATGGCTGTGAGGGCCACAGTGGAGCTCAGTGGCAGAGACCAGGCTTGTGATAGAGGCCTGGCTCTGCTGCCCTTCCCGACACCAAACTGTGTCATTGATGCCCTAAGGCTGCCCGATGCTCAGCCGGCTGAGGTGGAGTGCACAGCAGGCCACTCCGGCACCCAGGAGAGCCATGGCTTATGCCTGGCACCAACCCTGTGGTCACACACAATGTGTTTACACACACAGACCCAAGACACCACCACCCCACTCCACCCCACCCCCCGCTGGACTACAGGTGGTAAGAGGTGCGCCGTCCCCCAGCCAGCCCTCCAGGAGGAGCAGGGACAGCCCAGCTGCAGCCACATGGGTAGAGCAGGGGCAGAGTGTGAAGGCCACACCTGAGCAACGTCCACCTGGTGGAGGGGAAGGGGACCCTGGCTGTGAAAGGGGAGTTGGTGGGAAGCTGTGGCCATGGCTGTGACAAAACAGTGCAAAGTGAAACCATGAGGAATGAAAGCAATGTGGCCCCCAAGTTGCTGTCGGGAATCATGCAGGAGGTGTGTGCTGGCTGCACAGGCACCACAAAAGGAGAGGGCTCTAAGCCACACACACTACCGCACACCCATGCTCTCAGCTACATGGGGGGCTGAGGCAGGAGAACTGCACTTTCCAGGCCAGCCTGGGCAGAACAAAAACTGAAAAGGGCTGGGAGGGGGGGATGGCAGGAGAGAGCTCACCTCTCCTGCACACTGTGCTGGGGTCAATCTCCAGGGCTGTAGGGGACACAGCGCTCTTTGCACACACTTCCTGTGTATGAGTAACCCACTACAAGGAAAATGGAAGGAGTCGGTTTTTATCACAAAATGCAGCAGATAGGTTACCGATAATTTGCAGCGGGCTTGTTGACATTGCCTTACCACAGGGAGTTTCTGATGCCCTCTTCCTCCTCCTCAAGTTGCACAGACCCCAGCTTTCTGCAGAGGCTGGGTCCTCTCGGGCCATCCCACCCTGGCCAGCGCCCTTCCACCTCCCCTGAACCCCATTTCTCTGAGACGGGTCCTCTCTAAACCCATCCCCCATATGGCACTTAAGACACAGGACCTGGGCCTGGGGCTCTTTCTGTGGCCCAGCTCTGTGGCCCTGCCAGGCTGCTGCTCCAGACACTGCGCTGCCACGTCAGACTTATGTCTTAGTGACATGCAGCTGACTGGAAGTAAATACTGAGGCTGTAGATTAGGGACTGAAGCCCATGCGTACACTTGATTGCTTAAAAGCTTCCTGAATCATTCTAAATGCACTTAAAATTTTACATGAGTAGATTAATAGTAGTATTAGATTTAAATTAGCTCAGTTCCTGTGTAAAAATCCCTAGACACAGGGTGGTTTGTTTGAAATATTAGTCTTCCCAGCATTTTAGGGAAGAATTTTTTTCTTTTTCCAAGTGCTACGTATTGGGATCCTGAAGTTGAGTTATTCTGGTAATATAAAATTAAATGTCTTTTTATTATTATTAAATGCTGTAGCTTTTTGAACGGTTGCCAAGTTACTTTGACCTGTGGCGGAAGCTGACACTCTTAGAAGACCGGATAAGCAGGCTGTTAGGCGGCATCCAGGTCGTTTACATCGAGGAGCTGCAGCCAGCGCTGACCCTTGAGGAGTATTACTCCCTCCTGGATGCGTTCTGCAGCAGACTGCTGGAAAGCAGGGTCCCACTGCACCCACAGAGCCTCCGTGGCTTGCAGATGACCCTGAGCAGGTGAGCTGTGGGACTGCGCTGCTGCTCGGGTGGACCATGCGTGAGCATGAGACCTCGGCTCGCAGTTCAGTGTGGTTCTCTACCCAGGACAGAGGCATGTGCCACGGAAGGGTGGTCGGTGTGTCAGGGGCACTCCCATGGGGGGAGTCAAGGTGCGCTGGGGTGAGATGCGCAGCCCACCGTTTGCACACATGCCCTCTCCTACGCAGCGCCAGGGCACCAGTGCCTCCTTCAACGCACTCAGCCCTTGGGGCTCTGGCTGCAGCATGGGGCTTGGAAACAGTCCTCCTAACAACGGGTATCAGCAGGGCTTCGGGTCGGCAGTGCTGTGCTGGATTTTTAAGCTGGATATCCTTAAGGGTCCTCTTCAGCTGCTCAGAGACCAATATAAACATTTTCTCAGTGGGGAGCAGATGGTGCCAGCAGTTTTCCCTAATGTCCCTCTGTTTCAGTGACCGGTACGCACCAAGCTTGCACGAGCGCGGGCATTTCAACATCCCGATGCTGGGCGACCCGGCGAACCTGCAGTGGTTCATGCTGTCCAGAGCCCAGCAGGCCAGGGAGAATGTGCAGAGGAGGGAGCAGTGAGTACCGGCGCTGCTGCGCACCGCAGTCTTCACCCTGCCTTCTGCTCTTCTGTTCACTTTGTTGTTGGTTTTGAGATGAGGGCTCCCTGTGTAGTCCAGGCTGGCCACAAACTTAGAGTGATCCTCGTGCCTCAGCCTCCTCTGGGGTTACAGGCATGTACCACCACAACTGGCATCAACCAGACTTCTAAAGAGTTGGGTTTAGGACTTTGAACTAGGGAGACACCAGGACCGCATGAGGGACCTGGGGTGAGGTCCATGGTAGAGCACTTGCCTGGCACTGCAAGAAAACAAAAGCAAGGCTCTAGGTATAGGCTGGTGTGCCAGTGTCCCTTGTGCCTGCCAACAAGGGACAAGGCTGCTCTGCACATGCAGTGACCCATCCTCCGTCACCCTGCAGGCCTCACTTGGAGAAGGGGCTTTGCACACAGAAGTCGCCTCAGAAACAGAAACACCAAGGGTTTCTGGAAAAATCCTCCAGATGGAGAAGTGTGGCAGGAAGGAAAGGCAGGCGCTGTTACTGACCAGGAGTCTTCATTGTATAAAGCGTTTAGGCCGCTGAAGTCCCTGTGCGCTGGATGCCAAGCTGGGGCACAGAGGCCTGAGCACGGCTGAGCAGCAGACGGGAGAGGGGCGGCACCCTGCACGCACACCTGCTGGTACCCCAGGTACCCCATGCACCCCACTGAGCAAAAACAAAAGCAAAAGAATTTTTAAAAAGTGTGTTCTCTTTGATGCTGAGGATGCATCTCAGGTGCTCTGTGGACTGTGCTGGCCCCGGGAGATTTTCCCACTGCCAAGGGCAGCCTTCTGGGGACCCATTGCCTTTACACCTGGAACACGCTCCGCCCACTGTTCTGGGGAATCTCCTAGACCAGCATTCAGGGCAGTGGGACAAAGACTGGAGTGAAGGCGAGGCTTTGACCTCTCTCTGAGCACAGTGGCAGCAGTGGCAGTGTCTCCACAGAGCAAGGGTCTCCTGGGCTTCCTGCTCTGCACTCAACTCTGGCACCTGCGCTGTCGCCAGAGGTGCACGTCCCACCGAGCTGCACTCTGCCCAGCCTCCGCTTTGGCCACAGGAGCGCTCCAACTTGGACGAGGGCACCCTGGGGGCCTCTTCCGCAAGAGCAGATAGGAGGCTGGCACTGCCTCACCATGCATGGTCTCTGCTTCATCAGCCCACACCAGGCAAAAGCGCAGGCAGAAGTGTGTGGCCAGAATTCTGGCGCTGAGAGTTTTAACCCTGCAGTGGCCAGAGGAGGCTGAGGCCCATGGGTCAGGGAGGCCTGGGGACGTGGCCCTGGGGCCACGCAGGACACCCAGGGGCCACGTGTTGCCAGCCACACTGCACGGTGTCACCCTCTGCTCAGCCATGTTAAAGGCTTTTTTTTGTTTTTTAGCAAGTGAAAAAGCTCTGGATAGAAAACAGGGCCCGCCCTGCTGTAGAGAAGCCCCAGGCCCAAGGGGAACACTCAGCACTCAAGAAAGGGGTTCAGCAGCAAAACAATTGCCGTGACCACTTCCATTTTCCAAGGTGCTTCTACCATGTAGGTGCTTTATGCCCTTACTGAGTTCTCCCGCATGCAGCGGGAAAATACACTAGAATGTTCAGTGTTTTTAAGCAAGGCAGTACTTCAGTTACATTGTGTGATCAAAATACACTCTGACCATTGACCTTGTAAAAATTATCACAAGTGAGCCAGGCACGGTGGTGCATGCCGGTCATCCCAACACTGGGGAGGCTGAGGCAGGAGGATTATTGCCAGTTCAGGACCAACCTGGGCAACAAAGTGAGCTCAAGGCCAGCTTGAACTGCATAACAAGACCCTGTCTCAAAAAGACAAAAATTATTGCAATAAAAGACAGTGCAGTACCCCACCAGTTGAAACACAGCTAGACACTCAGGAAAGAGGACAACAGTCAACATTTTGATCAATTCAGGACATCGAGGCAGCCAGGACAGTGCAACAGAAGACCTTCAGGAGAGAGGCCTCCAGTGCTGCTGCAGAAGCGGCAAGGACCCGGGATGGTGGGGGTGGGGGTGGGGGGGGTCAGCAGTCTCTCATCTCCCAGCTCACCGCGCAGCCTGGCATGTGACCTGTCTGTCCAGCAACTTCCAGCCACGCAGGTCCCACACAGCAGTGAGGCTGTGACATGGGGACCTCTGAACTTGTCCCCACTGCATCAGTCCCAGGAGCCCAGAGCCAGGGTAGCCGGGTCCTTACCAGGCAAGAGTGACAGAGGGGGCCTTGACCCTGAGGAGGGAGGAGGATAGGGGTGGGGGCCTCCCAGGGCCCCTGGCGGCCTGAGAGCAGCTGTACCAGAAGTCTCTGGGCTGTTGCAGCCCAAGTATTCGGAAACAGTTCCTGTTCTTAGCTGAAAGCAGCATGGCTCTTGTTCCCCTGTCACAGGTTGAAGGCCACTGAGGACAGACTGATCCAAGCCTCTGTCCGAAAGCTGGCCCTGGAGAAGCTGTACAAGGAGCCCAGCATTTCCAGTCGCCAGATGGTGGCCTGCTGTGAGCGGCTGACCACGAGGCCGCGGCCAGCACTAGACAGCATGCGCCTGTGCGTGTCACACTTCTACTCGGTCCTACAGGATGGTGACCTGTGCATCCCCTGGGACTGGAAGGACACGGAGGCTGTGAAGTGACACAGGATCTGCTTGGTTTCTGAGGAGATAAGAAAGGAACAGTTCCATTTATTTAAATCCGCCAATAATAGGACTGTGTGTGACATGTTCTGAGAATAGCTGCTAACTGCTATTGAGAGTCTTGTTAAAAATTAATTTGCTAGCAGAAAGACTAGGTCTTACTCTCAGCCTTGAGATGTGGGAGGCCCAGACGAGGCTGAAGACACCAGCAGAGAAACGTGTTTAGTGATCGAGAGGCAGGGCCCTCCAAGAAGCTGTGTGTCCCCATGAGCGAAACGTGCCTGTGTGGACAGGGCGTGCCTGTATCTCCACATCACAAGGCTCGGGTCAGCACATACCTTCACAGTCCATTCTTGGCGTGCACACTTTGCCTGTGAGCAGGCGGGGACAGCCGGTGTAACAGACCGGCCACAGAGTTTAGATGGGAGTTTTGCCTGAGGATGGGGAGTGTGTGGGTTCGCATCATCTTGAGCAGCCCCTGCCAGTTTGTAAAGCATCTTCGGTGACAGAGTCAAAGTTTGCCACGCATCATATCTCCTACCCATTAAAGGCGGTAGCGGGGGCTGGTGGTGAGGGGCATACTTAGCACATGAACAACCCCAGTGCTGTTCCCAGCACCCAAAAAATAAAGTGGAGATCTACCCATTGGTAATGCCAACTCATGGACAGGTGGGACCTGCAAGCATGGCCTCACCTTTCCCCCCACCAACTGAGCCAGTCAGGGCCCCTGGGTCACCTCCCAGAAACTGCCTAACCCCAGATGTCCCCACAGCTTCTCAGTCAGGGGCAACTGGGGCTCCAAGCCTGTGGCCACATTGCAGAAGATGCTGAATACATAGAGCAGATGTGACAGGGGCTTTCTCCAGGGAACCAGGCCTGTGCCTGCTGGGCCTGGTCTGAATCCTTGAGCCTGGAGCAGATGGGACAGGGAGTCTTGGACCCAGGCCCCTGGAGCACAGCTCTGGCCCAGTTACCAATCCAGTGTCCCAGCAGCCTTATATCCCCACCTCCCTGGTCGCCTGCAGAGTCCTGGCCTGGCTTCCTGAGTGGACCAGTCAGCCCTGAGGAATCTGGGTTCCCAGGTTGTGGCACCTGAATCCCCTGTGCCACCATCAAGAGACACAGGCACAGACCTGGCCTAGGACCCATGGACATGCAGGGCCATTATGAGTGCCATCCCTTGGTGACAGTCTGTGCAGGCCTGGAGCTTCTGTGCCCCATGTGTTTAAAGGTGGCCCAGGCATGTCCTTGGGGTCCTCACTCTGCAGCCCCAGGTGCAGGAGTCCCACAGCATTGTAGGGCTTATGGGTTGGGCTGAACTCCAGGCCAAGGCCCCAAAGAGGCCACACATTTCCACAGATCCAGCTGAGTGGGGCCTCGCCATGAGGGCGGCAGTGCCTCCAGATCTACAGCTGCAGTCGCCCTGCCTGTCCTGGGTGCTTTAGAAACGCAGCCTCATGTCTGCCCCGAACCCTAGGGACCTTAGTGCCTGGCTGGCTCTGGGCACAGTTGTCCTGCTGAGCTCAGGTTTGTCTGGGTCCAAGGGAGAACAGAGCTGAGTGACCATTTCAGTGTCCCCTGAGTCTGGAGAGGGGTCCACCCTGTACCCTGGCCTCACCCCTCCCCACAGTATGTAGCCCCGCTGCCCCAGCCCTGCTCAGTTTACCTCCCAGAAAGTTCTTTCTCTACAGGGCCCAGCGCTGCCCTGGCTTCTCCCCAGGTCAGGCCAGGTCCAGCATATGCTGACTCACCAGGTTGGACCTGTGTGTCCCCTTCCAGCCAAACATTGCAATCTCACATCAAACATGTGTCACGGGTCACTTCCCTGCAGATGTCTTCCGACCTTTTATGTCACAGCACTGGCTCAGCGTCATCTCAGCCAGGTTCCTGACTGGTCCATGAAGGGCAGCCCCAAGCTGGAGGGTGAGCGGTCTCCTCTGGTCACTCTCCAGTCACAGACTACATGCAGCTTGGGGTGCAGCCTGCATGGCCCCATCAGACCACCCTTCTGGGGCCTAGGACAGAGGGACGACCATCCCATCCTGGGACTCCTCCCTCATGAGAACACAGTGCACTGGTTGCGGCCCAGTGGCAAAAGCCATGACAGCACCTGGTCACTGTACACACGAGCTCGTGCCAGGAGACACTGGCCTTGTGGGTCCCACCATCTTGGTCTGGCCCTGGCCACTAAATGTTGAGACACCAGCCAACATCGGCATCAAAAGTATGTGTGTGTGTGTATAACGGGACCAAACCCAGGGCCTTCGCACTGAGCTATCTTAGCTTTTTTCATTTTTCATTTTGAGACGTCTCACTAAGTTGCTAAGATACCCAGGCTGGGCTTGAACTGACAACCCTCCTACCTCAGACTCCCAGACTGCTGAGACTACAGGTGCATATCACCACTATTTCCAGCTAGAACTGGGTTATTAAACTCCAAAGGATTAATAATACCAGAGACTTCCAGGAAGATGACAGAGTGGTAAACAGCAGAAGAAATGGACAGATTCCTAGGTCCATATGAATTGCCAAAGCTGGATCAAGAAGATAAAAAAATTCTAAATAAACGATTACCAATCAATGAAATAAAAGATGTAGTGAAAATCTACCAACAAAGAAAACCCCAAGCTCTGACAAACTGATTCATTGCTGAATTCTACAAGAAATGTAGAGAACTAATACCACTGCTTCTCAAACCCTTTAATGAAATTGAAAGGGAAGCAATACTCCCAAATTCCTTTTACCCTGATACCAAAACCAGATAAGGAAACAACTAAAAAAGAGAACTACAGGCCAGTCTCCCTAATGAAAATGGATGCAAAAATCCTCGGTAAGATACTGGCAAAGAGTGTACCAAGTCATCAAGAAAGTTATATACCATGACCAAGTAAGATGCAGGGATGGTTCAACATATGCAAATCAATAAATATAATACACCACATTAACAAAACCAAGGATAAAAACCATATGATCATCTGGGCATTGTGGCACATGTCTGTAATCTCAGCACTTGGGAGCCTAAGGCAGGAGAATCATTGCGAGTGTGAGATCAGCCTAGGCTACAAAGTGAACTCAAGGCCAGCCTGAACTTCGTAGTGAGACCCTGTCTCAAAAAGATAAAAAAAACCAAAGAACCATATGATCATCTCAGTAGATACAGATAAAGCTTTTGATAAATTCCAACACCCATTCATGAGTTTAAAAAACAGAAAATTGGAATAGATGGTCTTAATCTGATAAAAGCCATCTATGGGGGCTAGGGGTTGAGCTTAGTGGTACAAGCTTCTGTCTCACAAGTTCAAGATCATGCATTCCAACCTGGGTACTAAAAAGCCATCTACATCAAACCAACAGCCAACATCATACTAAAAAATAAGACAAAAACAGTGCTTTCACTCAAAAATCAAGAACAAGACAAGGATGTCCACTGTCACCACTATTGTTCTATATAGTTGTGGAAACTAGCCAGAGCGATTAGAAAAGAGAAAATAACTAAAGAAGTTAAATTATCGGGGCTGGGGATTTAGCTCAGCAGCATAAGCACCTGCCTTGCAAGTGTGCTGTCATGAGTTCGATCCCTGGTGCTGATAAAACCAAAAAAGACCAAAAAAAAAGAAATTATCATCGTTCACAGATGATACTCTAAATAGACCCCAAAACACCACAAAAAGACTCCTAGATCTAATAACTAAATTCAACACAGCTAGATACAAAGTTAACACTCAAAATCAATAGCCAGGCTGGGGATATAACTCAGCAGCATAAGTGCCTGCCTGGCAAGCCCAAGGTTCTGAGTTCAATTCCCAGAACCAAGAAAAAAATTCAACAGCCTTCCTGTACATGAATAACAAACTTACTGAAAGAGAAATTAGGGAAACAACACCTTTCACAATAGTATCCAAAAAATGAAATACCCAGGAATGAATCTAATGAAGGAAGTAGAATACCTCTGCATTCAAAACTACTGTGAAAAAATACGGAAGAGGGTATTACAATATGGAAAGATATCTCTTGTTCTTGAACAGCAAGAACCAATATAGTGAAAATGGTAAACTTACAAAATTACTACATAAATTTAATGGACTTGTGGTCAAAATTCCAACAGCATATCTCACAGAGAAAACAACCCTAAAATTCATGTGGAGCTGGAAGAAACCTAGAATACCAAAGGCAATTCTGAGTAACAAAAGGCAGGCAGGGGGATCCCAATCCCAGATCTGAAATTATACTACAGAGCTACTGTGATAAAAACAGCATGGTACTGGAAAAAAAAAAAAAAAGACCTGAAGATCAGTGGAACAGATTAGAAGATGTAGAAACAACTCCAGACACATGAAACCATCTTATCTGTGACAAAAGTGTTAAACACCTTCACTGGAAGAAAAATAGCCTGTTTGATAAATGGTGCTGGGAAAACTGGCTCTACACATGCTGAAGATTAAAATTAGACCCATTACATTTCACCAAGCACTAAACTAAAATCAAAATGGGTTGAAGATGTAAACATTAAAACAAAAATACTAAATATGCTGGAAGAGAGAATTGGTAGAACCCTTGACATTGGTGTAGGCAGAGACTATGAACAAAACTCTGATTGCACAGGAACTATCACAGAGAATCAACAACTGGGATCTCACCCTACTGAAAAGCTTTTGCACACCAGAGAAACCACCAACAGAGTGAAGAGACAATCCAAATAATGGGAAAGAATTTTTGCCACCTGTTCCTCAGAAAAGGATTATTATCTAGAATATATAAAGAACTCACGAAAGTCAGACCCCCCCCCCAGATTTAAAGACCCAATCCAAAAATGGGCATCTGACATGAACATGTACTTCTCAAATGAAGAAATACAAACAGCAAATAAAGATACAAAAAAATGTTCAACATCACTGGTCATTCAAGAGATGCAGGTTAAAATAATGCTGAAATTCTACCTCACCCTAGAAAAAGATTATTATCAAGAAAGCAAGCCAGGCATAGTGCCGCATACCTGTAATCCCAGCACTCAGGAGGCTGAGGCAGAAACATCATCATGAGTTTGAGGCCGTCCTGCGCTGTACAGTGAACTCAAGGTCAGCCTAAAGGACACAGCAAGACCCTATGGGGCAAGGGGGAGACAACCTATAGCAAATGCTGTAGGGGTTGTGGGGAAAAGGAATGCTTCTCCACTGTTGGTGGGAGTGTAGACTGGTGCAACCCCTGTGGAAATCAGTCTGGAGGTTTCTCAAAAAACTAGGACTAGAGGTCCCATTTGACCCAGCTATTCCCTTTCTTGGTATCTTCTCAAAAGAATTAAAAGCATCGTACCACAGTGATGTGTGTGCACCCATGTTTATAGCTGCACAGTTTGTAGTGGTGGAATCTTGGAAACCGCCCAAATGCCCATCAACTGGCCAATGGATGAAAAGATGTGATTTTATATACTGCAGAGTACTACCCTGCCATAAAGAAGGCTAAGCTTGAGACATTTCTCCTAAATGATGCTCTTAAAAGAAATAGACACACAAGGGTAAGCAACTGCACCGTCTCTCAGATGGGGGAACTGGAAGCATGAATAGGACCAAAATGTATATTAAGTATTGTAAAATAGAAAGAAAATGTTCGCATGGGGAAAGGAAAGGAAAGAAGTGAAAAGTTTAAAA